GAGGTAGATAGCCGAGAGATGGGCCTGGCTCGAGGCTAGCTCAAGGGTTACTGGTGCTTGCTTCGGGACAGTGGTGATAGGCCAACAACAACAACAGCCATTTGGTTGCAGCTAGCTAGTTGCGATGATCCGGTGTTAAGGTCCAGTGATTCAGTGATTCCAGCAGAAAATCCGATATGCTCGGGTCTATAGCGCGCTGTGCAGACTGGCATATAATTGTCCAGGCTAGAGCTAATCATCAACATGTATTGATCACATCTTTACTAATGCTGCAGAAATTTGCTTTACATTTACATTTACATTTTAGTCATTTAGCAGACGCTCTTATCCAGAGCGACTTACAGTTAGTGATTACATTTTTATTTATTTTTTATTTTATTTATACTGGCCCCCCGTGGGAATCGAACCCACAACCCTGGCGTTGCAAATGCCATGCTCTATCAACTGAGCTACATCCCTGCCGGCCATTCCCTCCCCTACCCTAGACGACGCTGGGCCAATTGTGCGCCGCCCATGAGTCTCCCGGTCGCGGCCGGCTGCGACAGAGCCTGGATTCGAACCAGGATCTCTAGTGGCACAGTTAGCACTGCGGTGCAGTGCCTTAGACCACTGCGCCATTCAGGATCACAAATCCATCGGATGTAGTGATCACAATATAGTAGCAATATCTAGGAAAACCACAGTTCCAAAGGCTGGGCCTAATATACGTTTTGTAGTGATTTTTATGTTGATGATGTAAAGAATATTTGCTGGTTTGTGGTGTGTAATGAGGAGCAACCAGATGCTGCACTTGACACATTTATGAAATTGCTTATTCCAGTTACTAATAAGCATGTGTCACGCCCTGGCTCTGGGGACTCTTGTATGTTGAGCCAGGGTGTTAGTTTCTTTGTGTAGAGTCTATGTTTCGTTTTCCTATGGTCTGTTCTAGGTTATGTGTTTCTGTGTTGGCCGGGGTGGTTCTCAATCAGAGGCAACGAGAATCAGCTGTTGCTTGTTGTCTCTGATTGGGCACCATACTTAGGCAGCCTTTTGTGCACTTGTGATTCGTGGGATCTTGTTCTGTGTAGGTTTGTGTTTGTTAACCTTAGACTTCACGTATCGTTTTGTTGTTTTGGTTCGTGAGTACCTATTAAAGTATGTACTCATATCACGCTGCGCCTTGGTCCACTCCTTTCGACGATCGTGACAGAAGATCCCACCAATACAGGACCAAGCAGCGTGTCCAGGAGCCAACGCCGGAGGTAACGTTAGTAGATGTCCTCCTCAGTTGGGGGCAGATCACGGAGGAGGAGGCCGTCTGTTACCGGAGGGCGATGAAGGGGGAGACCCAGGCAGGAGAGGAGAAGCGGCGCCAACCGGGCCGTCGTCGGACAGGCGAGAGGCACCCCCAATAAAACAATTTTGGGGGGCACATGGCATGGACGACGGGGCTGCTGGAGGCAGATAAAGGGCGAGTTTGTGGACGAGGAGAGAAGGCCACCAGGTTACTGGGGCCATTGGTCATTAGAGGGAAGGAAAGTGTAGAGGCACGGCGAGAGGTACTGAGGTGTGTTACCAGTCCGGTCCAGCCCGTTCCTGATCCCCGCACAAGGCCAGTGGTGTGTGTTCCCAGTACGGTCTGGCCTGTTCCTGTCCCTCGCACCAAGCCTGTGACGCGCGTCGCCAGCCCGGCCCGGCCTGTTCCTGCCCCTCGCACCAAGCCTGGGGTGCGCGCGTTGCCAGCCTGGCCCGGCCTGTTCCTGCCCCTCGCACCAAGCCAATGGTGCGCGTCGCCAGCCCGGCCCGGCCTGTTCCTGCCCCTCGCACCAAGCCTGGGGTGCGCGTCGCCAGCCTGGCCCGGCCTGTTCCTGCCCCTCGCACCAAGCCAATGGTGCGCATCACCAGCCCGGCCCGGCCTGTTCCTGCCCCTCGCACCAAGCCAATGGTGCGTGTCGCCAGCCCGGCCCGGCCTGTTCCTGCCCCTCGCACCAAGCCTATGGTGCGCGTCGTCGGCCCGGCCTGTTCCTGCTCCCCGCACCAAGCCTATGGTGCGCGTCGCCAGCCCGGCCCGGCCTGTTCCTGCTCCCCGCACCAAGCCTATGGTGCGCGTCACCAGCCCGGTCCGGCCTGTTCCTGCTCCCCGCACCAAGCCTGTGGTGCGCGTCGTCAGCCTGGCCCGGCCCGTTCCTGCTCCCCGCACCAAGCCAATGGTGCGCGTCGCCAGGCCGGTCTGGCCCATTCCTGCTCCCCGCACCAAGCCAATGGTGCGTGTCGTCAGTCCGGTCTGGCCTGTTCCTGCTCCCCGCACCAAGCCTGTGGTGCGCGTCGCCAGCCCGGTCCGGCCCGTTCCTGCTCCCCGCACCAAGTCAGTGGTGCGCGTCGTCAGCCCGGTCCGGCCCATTCCTGCTCCCCGCACCAAGCCTGTGGTGCGCGTCGTCAGTCCGGCACAGCCTGTGCCCGTTTCACCGATGCCTGGTCAGGTACCGGTCAGCTGCTCCACACCGGAGCCTAAGCAATCCGCTCCACCGATGTCCAGTCCAGCTCCAGCCAGCGGGGCCAGACCAGACCAGGGGCGCTACGGGGGGGTTGTTAGAGGGTGGTGGTCACGCCTGGAGCCGGATCCGCCTCCGAGGAGGAATGCCCACCCGGCCCCTCCCCTGTTGGGTTTATGTTGGCGCGGTCGCAGTCCGCGCCTTTGGGGGGGGGGGGGGGGTACTGTCACGCCCTGGCTCTGGGGACTCTTGTATGTTGAGCCAGGGTGTTAGTTTCTTTGTGTAGAGTCTATGTTTCGTTTTCCTATGGTCTGTTCTAGGTTATGTGTTTCTGTGTTGGCCGGGGTGGTTCTCAATCAGAGGCAACGAGAATCAGCTGTTGCTTGTTGTCTCTGATTGGGCACCATACTTAGGCAGCCTTTTGTGCACTTGTGATTCGTGGGATCTTGTTCTGTGTAGGTTTGTGTTTGTTAACCTTAGACTTCACGTATCGTTTTGTTGTTTTGGTTCGTGAGTACCTATTAAAGTATGTACTCATATCACGCTGCGCCTTGGTCCACTCCTTTCGACGATCGTGACAGCATGCACCCAAACTGTTGAATCCCCTTGGATTAATGAGGAGTTGAAAATGTGTATGGTTGAGAGAGTATGTCTATGTATGCGGATGACTCAAAACTATACACGTCAGCTACTACAGCGACTGAAATGACTGCAACGCTTAACAAAGAGCTGCAGTTAGTTTCATAAAGGGTAGCAAGAAATAAGTTAGTCCTAAATATTTCAAAAACTAAAAGTATTGTATTTGGGACAAATCATTCACTAAATCCTAAACCTCAACTAAATCTTCTAATGAATAATATGGAAATTGAGCAAGTTGAGGTGACTAAACTGCTTGGGGTAACCCTGGATTGTAAACGGTCATGGTCAAAACATGTTAATACAAAAGTAGTCTGTCCATAATAAAGCATTGCTCTGCCTTCTTAACAACACTATCAACAAGGCAGGTCCTACAGGCCCTAGTTTTGTCGCACCTGGACTACTGTTCAGTCGTCTGATCAGGTGCCACAAAGAGGGACTTATGAAAACTACAATTGGCTCAGAACAGGGCAGGACGGTTGGCCCTTAAATGTACACGTAGAGCTAACATTAATAATATGCATGTCAATCTCTCATGGCTCAAAGTGGAGGAGAGATTGACTTAATCGGTACTTGTTTTTGTAAGAAGTGTTGACAAGCTGACCCCACAAGACATGCCACCAGAGGTCTCTTCACAATCCCCAAGTCCAGAACAGACTATGGGAGGCACACAGTATTACATAGAGCCATGACTACATGGAACTCTAATCCACATCAGGTAACTGATGCAATCAGATGTAAAAAACAGATAAAAATACACCTTATGGAACAGAGGGTTTTGTGAAGAGACACACACAGGTACAGACACACGCATACGCACACAAACGGTAGCACATGCACTCTACACATGCGTACATTGTAATATTGTTGTATGGTGGTATTATACATTTTGTATTGCTCATATGTAGTGGTGTAATAATGTTATGTGATGTACTGTCTTATCTTTTGTTTTATGTGTGATGTAAGTGCCTTAATGTGTTTGGACCCCAGTCTTACCTGCCATGGGTAGCTGTAGGGCCGGGCTTCTTCCCTGTTCACGACACTAGCAGGGGGGGGGGGTAAGTGTAAGTGGTATTCCACAGCCTGAGACTACAGTATAGACTGGCGGTATGTGGTCTCTCAAAAAGCATCACAAAAATAGTTTTCGCTTAGGTAATGAGACACTCCACTATGCCCTATCTTCTGAGCTAAAAATCCATGTTTTTTTAAATCACATAGGATTCTAAGAATTGAGTTACTCTTTTCTTTCTCACTTTTCTGTTACAGCTTTTTGAATGAACAATTTAAAAAGATACTTCTAATGCTTACTCACCTGCAGTGACTTCTACTACCAAAACAAGGGTCAGTTCCATCATTTCTCAATTATCTTTCTCCTAAGCCAAGGGTATATTGTCTGAGCTCATAGACCATTATATACCCAAGACAACCTCTAATCACCAGGCCTGGCTGGGATCAGACCATCCACTCTCCAGCTGCTTATCAGTTTGTGACAGGTGGTTCGCATTGAAGACCGATTGGCATTATACAGTAATTTTCTAACTGTAATAATAATTGCCATATGGGCATTTAAGACAATGGGCATTTAAGGCCCACTGGCATTGCCTTACGGCAATTGTGATGGCCTATTATAGACAAGTAGTTATAGGGGGGTCTTTTAAAGAACTTGTCTGGTCAAATTAATTAATTAATGAGTTAATGAATGAATAGAAACTAACTGTACTTTCTTAATGGTAATTTTTCTGTTTGTAAAATGCCACTTTACAGCAGTAATAAATTGTGGAGTGGCACCTTTCCACTCCATGCCAGAAGGTGGCAATGTAGGCACGTGTCATTACCTATTTCGTGTTGTCACTAAGGAAGTGCGAAGCAGCCGGCGTTTGTAGTTTAAACATGGCGCTACCCAGTTCAGTACTCGTGCGACTCAGAGCGTTGTGTAACCTTGGGAAATCTTTGGATGCAGGGAGCACAATTGGACAAAATTACAATCGGGTCCGGTGGTACAAGACAAAAGCCAGGAGCTATCAGGACACTGCAGCGTCAGCGGCCCAGACAAGACGGGGTGAGTGAGAAATGCTGTTGAATTGAGTTGACACCGGTGCCATCTCCAAGCCGAAGCAAAGCACCTTGAGACATGCGTACAGTATTAATCGTCAGCGAAAGCTAGCTAGTTAACTTAGTGACCGAAAACCTGCTTACACTGTCATTAGCTAGTTAGCTACATGTCTCTATTTCAGGTTGTATGACAGTGATATCTTGCTAAGTTATCTAGGTAGCTAGCTGAGGAATTGATCTCCATCTTTCATCATTCATATCAGGTAGTGAGCTCCTGAAAGAGTTCCCTGAACCGAAGAGCCTGCTGTTTACCACCATATCCCGGTCGCTTGGGGTGTCTGACCTCTCCCAACACATCCAGTATCACTGCACAGAGGATGGGGGTCTCAAGGTCAGAGAGACAAGGCACTAGGTGGACTATTGCAACCACAGGAGGCTGGTGAGGAGAGGACGCCTCATAATAATGTCTGGAATGGAGTGAATGGAATGGTATCAATATGGAAATCAAGTATTTGATGTGATTGATACCGTTCCATTTATTCCGTTCCAGCCGTTACCATGAGCCCGTCCTCCACAATTAAGGTGCCGCCTGTGATTGCAACACATCTTGTTTGACAGATGACGCCTCTTCCCAAACAAAGTCCATTGTCTAATAATTGTTTCACTGTCGCTATACGTGTTTGTTTTCAGAGAGCCACTGTCACACTCCTCTGGCCCAGCAAAATGGAGGTGGAGGGCTTTGCTCGCAAGAAGATTGATGCTGAACGATATGCTGCTGCTGCTGCCTGTCACAAGCTGAAAGTAAGAGAAAAGACCTGCCCTTTATTTAAACAATTACAGCAGGATTTGTCTCACTTTGTACCAGGAGTATTGTGCATTGCTTTCATCAATGCTAGCCCACCCCATCTGTTCCTTCTGTCTTTCCTCACTTATTTCTCCCCAGGAGATGGGTGTGCTGGGTCCAGACAATCAGGTGGCCAGGAGGAGTGTGGGACAAGGGCGAGGGCCACCACTATCAGTCTTAGAGGACCCGGAGGAGTGTCGGTGGACAGATGATGTCCATGTGCCTAGAAGAGACCTCCAGAATGGATCCTTGGAACCTCACAGACAATCAAGGTATTACCATCCTCCTGTTACTATGGATCATACTCAGTACCAATGTATTATGGTTTATACTTTGCTGATTTTTGCATGGGACTCGATTCACTTTTTATTTGAATGTTTTGTTTATTGTGCTGCACATGTTGGTGTTTACAGGGCACCCGAGGAGAATTCCGAGCTCTCCCAGGCTCTTTCCATGTTCATAAATCCTAAAGCTCTGCTGACCAGAGTCATCCAGGTGGCCACGTCTTCCAACAGATTCAGGGTCAGTAACTGTCTCTGTCTCCTATAGGTCCAACATGCACCATAATACAGCCTGTCATAACACTTGTTATAAGCTATCATACAACCTGTCTAAAGCTCAGCCACTCATCTCTGAACTGTCATGCTAAAACTGTCATTCACTCTCTCCTCTTCTCTACTACAGGAGCTGGTGCAGTACAAGACGGTGGGCGGTAAGGTGAAGAGATGTGAGCTGACCATGCGATGGCCAGAGGAGATGACGTTTGGGGCCTCGGCTCTTCGCAGAGTGGAGGCAGAGAGGAGAGCTGCTGCACTAGCCTGTTTCAAACTGAAGGTGAGGACCACAGATGAAAGAGCACAGAGAATTACTGATGCATTTGTTTATAATATGTCTGTTAGATTATGTTTTCACGCATGCATTCCCATACCAGGGTTGTGTTCATTAGGGCATGGAAGGGAAAGTTAATGTAAAAAGGAATACGAAAATGAGTGTCTTATTGCATCCAGTTTATTCTATTTTCTTCCGTTTGGTGCTCAATGCTCAACTTTTTCTATACTCTCTCCAGGAAATGGAGCTGCTAGATGAGGACAACCAACCTCTGACCCATGCTAAGTACCACAAGGAGGAGATGCGTGAGGCGGGGGAGAGAGACAGACGGCCCTGTCCTCTGGAGATACCTGAGTACTTAGAGCACAGCGCCAGAGAATACCTCACACAGGTTGGTTATCTTGCATCATCACCACTGGAAAATCAGTCTGTGTAGCTAACGTCACTGGCCAGGAATTTACTTCATAGCCTCTGTGTTTGTGCTCATGAATTGTCCAGTATCCAGTGGCGACAGAGATGCAGAAGCTGTGGGAGGAAGAGGAGGAGAGAAGCCAGCAGAGGTTGAACCAGCAGGACAAAGAGGAGGAAGAGGACCTCGTCACAGACGCCATCACAGGCAGGCCATACCGGCCCCTCTCTACCCAGGAGGCCGAGCAGCTGAGCGCAGACCTACAGGACGAGTGGGAGAGGGCAGGGCCTGGCCTGGGGGTGGAGCTCCCGGTCGACGCCCACCGGGAACGTGTAGTGTCAGCGGTGGAGTCCTCCAGGGTCATCGTGGTTGCTGGGGAGACAGGGTGTGGCAAGACGACGCGTATCCCGCGCTTCCTGCTGGAGGGGCGTGTGCGGAGCGGGGATGGGGCGGAGTGTAACATTCTGGTCACCCAGCCTCGGAGGATTAGCGCTGTGTCAGTGGCTCACCGTGTTGCCCACGAGATGGGTCCCGCCCTCAAACGCTCTGTAGGGTATCAGGTGAGTTACAGGGAGCATACTGTTATAACTAGATCAAATGCTGTTGTCACCAGAATCACTCATCACCATTACACTAACTAACCATTAGGGCCGGGACAATACCATTATTGCGATACTCGTTAGTATCCTGGCAAGGGAACAAAACATGAAATGGATTTAACTTCTTTAGGAAAACAGCCCTGATGTTGGAAACAAACATCATTATGTTGTCATTCAGTCACATTTATTTATTTCCAAAGCTGTAGCACACAATAATTTAAAGACAGACAAGTTTTTAAAAGACCAAAGAGTTTGGTCTGCTTCGTATTTACATTTTTGCCATGGAAACATTTTTGCGATACTGGTATTGTCCTGGCCCTACTAACCACTAACCTCCCTTATTCATTGGACAATTGAGCTGTCACTCCCTCTACTGTAGCTCAACTTCTCTCGTTCATTGGACGTTCCTGCTGTCACTCACTCTCCCGTGAACCCCCCAACCTCTCTAGGTGCGTCTGGAGAGCCGTCCCCCGGAGCACAGCGGTGGGGCCCTTCTCTTCCTGACGGTGGGGGTGTTACTGAGGAAGCTGCAGGGTAACGCCTCCCTGAGGGGGGTTAGCCACGTGGTGGTGGATGAGGTCCACGAGAGGGACGTCAATACGGACCTACTGCTGGCCCTGCTGCGACCCGCCCTAAGGGACAACCCCAACCTCCGCGTGGTGCTGATGAGTGCCACGGGGGACAACCAGAGGCTAGCCCAGTACTTCGGGGGCTGCCCCGTGGTCAGTGTGCCCGGGTTCATGCACCCCGTCAGGGATCGGTACCTGGAGGAGGTCCTGAGGGAGATGGGGAGACCACCGCCGCCCCTGGCGAGGACAGACTTGCAGGGACGGGTGAGGAAGATGCTAACTGCTGAGGGGTGGACTTTAGTAGTTTATCAATACTAGAGTGTTATAATTTTCAGATTTTAAGTCTTGGATGTGATTGACTGACTCTGTGCAACTGACTAATTGACGGTGCTTGTACATTCCTGCATGTTTTCTTTCATATGTACAGTACCAGTCAAAAGTTTGGACACACCTACTCATTCCAGGGTTTTTCTTTATTTTTACTATTTTCTACATTGTAGAATAATAGTGAAGACATCAAAACTATGAAATAACACATATGGAATCATGTAGTAACCAAAAAAGTGTTAAACAAATCAAAATATATTTGAGATTCTTCAAAGTAGCCACCCTTTGCCTTGATGACAGCTTTGCCAATCAGTTGTGTTGTGACAAGGTAGGGGTGGTATACAGAAGATAGCCCTATTTGGTAAAAGACCAAGTCAATATTATGGCAAGAACAGCTCAAATAAGCAAAGAGAAATGACAGTCCATCATTACTTTAAGACATGAAGGTCAGTCAATCCGGAAAATGTCAAGAACTTTGAAAGTGCAGTCGCAAAAACCCATCAGGCGCTATGATGAAACTGGCTCTCATGAGGACCGCCACAGGAAATGAAGACCCAGAGTTACTTCTGCTGCAGACGATAAGTTCATTAGAGTTACCAGCCTCAGAAATTGCAGCCCAAATAAATCCTTCACAGAGTTCAAGTAACAGACACATCTCAACATCAACTGTTCAGAGGAGACTGCGTGAATTAGGCCTTCTTGGTCGAATTGCTGCAAAAAAAACACTACTAAAGGACACCAATAAGACGAAGAGACTTGCTTGGGCCAAGAAACACGAACAATGGACATTAGACCGGTGGAAAACTGTGCTTTGGTCTGATGAGTCCAAATTTGAGATTTTTGGTTCTGACCGCCGTGTCGTTATGAGACGCAGAGTAGGTGAACAGATGATCTCAGCATGTGTGGTTCCCACCTTGAAGCATGGAGGAGGAGGTGTGATGGTGCTTTGCTGGTGACACTGTCTGTGATTTATTTAGAATTCAAGGCACACTTAACCAGCATGGCTACCACAGCATTCTGCAGCGATACGCCATCACATCTGGTTTGCGCTTAGTGGGACAATCATTTGTTTTTCAACAGGACAATGACCCAACACACCTCCAGGCTGTGTAACGGCTATTTGACCAAGAAGGAGAGTGATGGAGTGCTGCATCAGATGACCTCAACCCAATTGAGATGGTTTGGGATGAGTTGGATTGCAGAGTGAAGGAAAAGCAGCCAACAAGTGCTCAGCATATGTGGGAACTCCTTCAAGACTGTTGGAAAAGCATTCCAGGTGAAGATGGTTGAGAGAATGCCAAGAGTGTGCAAAACTGTCGTCAAGGCAAAGGGTGACTACTTTGAAGAATCTAAAATATATTTTGATTTGTTTAACACTTTTTTGGTTACTACTTGGTTCCATATGTGTTATTTCATAGTTTTGATATCTTCACTATTATTCTTCAATGTAGAAAATAGTAAAAATATAGAAAATCCCTTGAATGAGTAGGTGTGTCCAAACTTTTGGCTGGTACTGTATATGTTTGTGTTCATAAATTGACTGTTTCGATGTTTAGGAGAAGGATGATGCCACGCCAGACCTGGACTTAGTAGCTAATGTGATAGAGCACATCCACAGACAGGGAGAGCCAGGTAACCAACGCTTCAACACTCCCCTAGTTTTACTCTACGTTCCCCTTATCTCTCCATGTCTGTTTTGCTAAGGTCCGATCCAACTGATGGTTGATTGATTCATTGATGATTTCTCTTCCAGGTGCAGTGCTGTGTTTCCTACCAGGTTGGCAGGACATTAAGGCTGTCCAGAAGAGACTAGAGGAGAAACCAACCTTCCGCTCTGGCTCTCAAATGATCCTACCATGTAAGGACTGGAATAAGGGGTCTGTCTTTAGTTTCTGTCCTGCTGCCTGTTCACAACATGCTACCTGTATTATTCCTGGTCAGGTCACAATGTGACATGGTTAGGAAATAATTCTGTACCTAATTAAAATGCAGTGCACAAGGAACGCTCTTATGACTGGATTATAATAAAGTAATGTCTTTGCTCCCCCTCCTCTCTGTCTGTCCAGTACACTCAAGTATGTCAGTGACCCATCCTCTCTGTCTGTCCAGTACACTCAAGTATGTCGGTGGGCGACCAGCAGGCTGTGTTTCAGCGCCCCCCTGAGGGCCGGAGGAAGATCGTCCTGGCCACCAACATCGCTGAGACCTCTATCACCATCGATGACATCGTTCACGTAGTAAACGCGGGCTCTCAGAAGGAGCAGAACTACGACACACGGACCAAGGTAGGTGACGGTCACTTCTGTCACAGTGAATAGATAATATAGACATTCATGCAGAAACTGTATCTTAAAGCACCTCAATAGAGGACAATAGTGCTATCTCATAAAAATCCCTGTTGCCTTTAAAAAAAATAGTGTATGGAAAACATTCCTAATACTTACAGTAGCCGCCAAGCTAGTGCAAATCCAACTGGTGATTGACTACAATATACTAGTGTGGTGTTGCAAACCTCTCTGTCTTGCTGGTCACCAGGTGTCATGTCTAGACACAGTCTGGATCTCGCGCTCCAACGTCACTCAGCGTAGAGGGAGGGCGGGGCGATGCCAGCCCGGACATGCCTACCACCTGTTCCCACGGCAACGCCTGGAATCAATGACAACCTTCCCTGTGCCTGAGATCCTACGCACCCCTCTGGAGAGCCTGGTGGTACAGGCCAAGATCCACAGCCCCCACTGCAAGGTGAAGGGATTTGACAGAGGAACGATGGAGATGTAGGGGTGTAAGGGCCAGTCAATGTAATTGTGAGGTCTCTGCACGTTTGTCACATATATTGATGTTCTCTTGGTGGGTCTCTCCAGGCAGTAGATTTCCTGTCACAGGTGTTGGACAGCCCAGAGCGAGAAGCTGTGACAGATGCTGTTCGCAACCTGCAAGAGATTGGTGAGACTCTCTAAAGATCTGTCTTCACATGATGAAAATAATTTGCATCCAGACGGTTTCAGTTGGGATTTAGCAAATCGTGTTTTAGTTGTTCAAATGGTTTGAGATCATTCAACAGACGATGTATTAGTGCGTGTTCTTATTGGTGTTGTTGTGGTCTACAGGGATGTTTTTCATGCTCCTCTCCCCTCCCTCTCCCTAGGTGTTCTGGACAAGACAGAGGCCCTGACTCCCCTGGGGGAGAGAGTAGCCTGTCTGGCCTGTGACCCACGCCTGGGGAAGGTGCTGGTGCTTGCTGCTCTGTTCCGCTGTGTCCTGCCCCTGCTGTCAGTCGCAGCTTGTCTCACCAGAGACCCTTTCCACAACAGCATGCAGAACAGAGCCCTGGTCTCTAAGGTCAGACACTGACTCAGTCCACGTCCACCTGGGCAGTCATTGTTTAATTTTACTTACATAACATGATGTACTGCAAAATTCCCTTTTCCCTCCAGGCTAAGGATGCCCTGGGAGGCTCCAGCTACAGTGATTACCTGGTGTTCAGTCGAGCTGTGTTGGGCTGGAGGAGTGTTCAGCAGGAGAGAGACAGAGAGACCAGACAGGACTACTTGGACAGATACACACTGTCTGGAGCCAGCCTGCGCTTCATCAATGGTGAGAGAGAGACAGAGACATTGGGTAAACTCCTGGCTGTAGGGTTTTTCCTTACCTTGTGAACTGACCAGGTAAAACTCAGTTCCCTCGTCATTGGTTCAATCAGTTATCGGGCTGACCCAGGTTGTTGAGTGTCTTCCATATATTTTCATACGTTTATATTAATCGTTGATGTCTCCTGTGTGTTCCAGGTCTGACCTCCCAGTTCAGTGAGAACCTCCTTGAGGCTGGGCTGGTGGTGCGTTCAGCTGACTGCCAGAGATCCTCTTCCCTCTACAACCAACACAGCCACCAGGACGAGCTGGTGAAGGCTGTGCTGCTGGCTGGACTCTACCCCAATCTCATACAGGTACACATCTAAATCTCAAACAGTAGTCTGCAGGTTCCTATAGCTTAAGCTATGCACACAGCATCCTGACTCACTTATGTTTCTGTGCCTCAGGTGAAAAGAGGAGCAGTGACCAAAGGTCGCTTTCCGCCCCAACAGCCTGTGCTTCCGCACGCAGAGCGGCCCGGTGCTCATACACCGCTCCTCCGTCAACAGGTGTGTGTCTTACGGTGTGTGTGTTAAAAGCGCTGCATGGCCTCCCGAGTGGCGCAGCGGCACTGATCAGTTCTAGAGGCGTCACTACAGATCCGGGTTCAATCCCGGGGTGTGTCGCAGTTGGCCGCGACCAGGAGACCAATTTGGCCCAGAGTCGTCCGGGTTAGGGGAGGGTTTGGCCGGCTGGAATGTCCTTGTCCCATCGCGCTGGCTTCGGTCGCCAGCTGTATGGTGTTTCCTCCGACACGTTGGTGCGGCTGGCTTCCGGGTTAAGCGAGCAGTGTCAAGAAGCAGTGCGGCTTGGCGGGGTCGTGTTTCGGAGGACGCATGGCTCTCGACCTTCGCTTCTCCCGAGCCTGCACGGGATTTGCAGCGATGGGACTAAATACCAATTGGATATCATGAAATTGGGGAGAAAAAGGGGTAAAAAGTACCAAAATAATAAATAAACCTGCATGGTCAATCTGACGTCTGCATTGGCCGTGCAGCATTTACGGTGTTACGGCCTCTGCAGAAGTCAGGACATTCATACTTCTTGCGCTTCTTGGAGCAGCACAGAGCTGTTGTGAAGGAAGTGAGTTTGTGTTTATACAGGACCTCCCGCCCTCACCTACCGTCAATCAATCATGTCAATGTGGAGCTATATGGAGCCCTCCGCATTGGCCTCAATGTGCCTTTTCTATGATGGTGCCAAGGCCATTCTACTGCCAATGTTTGTCTATGGAGATTGCATGGCTGTGTGCTCGATTTTATACACCTGTCAGCAAGGGGTGTGGCTGAAATAGCCGAATCCACTAATTTGAAGGGTTGTCCACATACTTTTGCATATATAGTGTATGTGTGTGTTCTCATATATTGGCCAATATTCTGATGGTGTGTGTGTGTATTAACAACCCATTCTTGTCTTGTTCCAGGGGAGAGGAGCAGTTCCCCAGTCGCTGGCTGACCTTCTTCAGTGCGATCAAGTCCAACGGTAACGTGTTCATCAGAGACTCCTCAGCAGCCCACCCCCTCGCACTACTGCTGCTCACCGACTGTGACATCACTGAGAGAGGTATAATTCAATTCAGTACCACTTTATGAATCCCAGTGGCATTAAACTGTTGGTAATGTAGAGATATCACCAACTACTGCACATAGACTTGCAGTGACGCTACAGATATGTCATTGAGGGCCTCACTTGCTTTATCGATACCAATGTCTATTGAAAGTGGAATTATAAAGTAAAATTCCATCCTCTTGCAAAAAACATTGGTATAAAGGATGTTAGAAGCCAGTCAGATAGCGGAAAAGGGAAAGATTCCCATTTCCTGTCATTAACTATCTCCCACCTCTCCTCCTGCCTCTCTCAGTGAATGGTGACCGTGTGGAGGTGGCGTTCCCGGGGCGGTCGCTGGTACGCTGTGAGCTGTCTGTCCAGACCTGGGAGCTGCTGTGGGAGCTACGCTCCTCCATCCAGACCATGCTGTACCGCAACCTCCGCCCACACAGCTCAGCCAATTACGTCACACAGGACGGCAAGCTCATCACGCTATTGGTGGAGCTGCTGAACAATACAGAGTCCAATACAGACCCCCAGCCAAACGGTGGCCACAGTGACTCTGAGGTAGACTGATTAACTCGCATTGGAATACAGGAATGTCAAAGTACTGCGAAGTAGTGCTTTGTGACCTGGAAAAACTCTGCCCATAGCAAGGGTCCATATTTTTCTGGTCAGGAAAAAAGTACCAAAGCAAGATGGTAGGGGCACTGTTTGCTTGTGTGCAAGTGGGTCTGCTGACTAAAAATCTGAGAAGACAGTGTAATATCGGTTATCTAACTGTACAATACTATCCATAGTTAACTACCCCATTCTAAATGTCCTTTAGCAGCTCACCTGAGATATAATGAGAAAAGGTTTGGATGAATGGGAACACTGAGTTACAATGGAGTTCATGAAAATTCATCATGCCCTGAAAGTTTGGCTCTTTAAACAATATTTCAAGAGCCCCTTTTAATAGGAGTGAACTAATGCTACAGTAAAATGGGTCATTACCACTGTAAATACTGTGGTTGCTCTCTACATGATATGGGAAGAAGAAATCAATTTGTTTGACTGGATTATGGACGATGGTATATTTGCTTTTTGAAAAGCAGAAGTTGAATGAATCTGACTCTTAATGAGTGTCTAATGATGTGTGAACTACAGCGAGACGGTGTCAAGATGCCTTGGTCAAAAGAACGATTGCATATAATTGTTTTCACGTGAATTTATTGTTAAAAAATAAATGGGTATTTAAATATGGTCTGTTGAACGATATAAAGATGTTATAAACAAGGTTACTGGTTGCAATTTTTTTCTCTGAAGTTAAATGTATTATTCATCATTGGGCTATGAGGTGAGGTTAGGTGAAGCCAGTTTTCAGAAGAACTCCTTGAGGAAATGCAGGTGGAAGTTCTTCAGGCGTTTCAGTACCTCTTCCATGGTCTCCACTGGGGTCATGACACACAGTCTGCAGAGAGAGAAATCAGTGGGGAAGTATAACCGTTTAAATAGAATGATGAGGCTAATGCTATGCTGCCCTGTCAATTTGGATAGGATGAGTACTGGATATGGAACCATTGACTACTGGAGTGTGAGATGTTTTATGGTGACATTTCTATGTCCAGAAGCAGTTGCCAGAGAGACAGAGAGAGGATTGTACCTGATGTGGTGGGTGCCTTCCTTCTGTCCATACTGACACCCTGGCCCCACACACACTCCTGCTTCCTCTAGTAACCGTTTACAGTACCATAGGTCAAGCTGCATCCCTACTACCTGCAATGGAAAACAGAAAACTCTGCAATATACAGTACCAGTCAAAAGTTTGGACACACCTACTCATTCAAGGGTTTTTCTTTATTTTTTACTATTTTCTACGTTGTACAGTCGTGGTCAAAAATTTTGAGAATGACAAGTATTGGTCTTCACAAAGTTCGCTGCTTGTGTTATGAGATATTTTTGTCAGATGTTACTATGGTATACTGAAGTATAATTACAAGCATTCCATTAGTGTCAAAGGCTTTTATTGACAATTACATTAAGTTTATGCAAAGAGTCAATATTTGCAGTGTTGACCCTTCTTTTTCAAGACCTCTGCAATCCGCCCTGGCATGCTGTCAATTAACTTCTGGGCCACATCCTGACTGATGGCAGCCCATTCTTGCATAATCAATGCTTGGAGTTTGTCAGAATTTGTGGGTTTTTGTTTGTCCACCTGCCTCTTCAGGATCGACCACAAGTTCTCAATGGGATTAAAGGTCTGAGGAGTTTCCTGGCCATGGACCCAAAATGTCGATGTTTTGTTCCCCGAGCCACTTAGTTATCACTTTTGCCTAATGGCAAGGTGCTCCATCATGCTGGAAAAGGCATTGGTCGTCACCAAACTGTTCTTGGATGGTTGGGAGAAGTTGCTCTCGGAGGATGTGTTGGTACCACCATTCTTTATTCATGGCTGTGTTCTTAGGCAAAATTGTGAGTGAGCCCACTCTCTTGGCTGAGAAGCAACCCCACACATGAATGGTCTCAGGATGCTTTACTGTTGGCATGACACAGGACTGATGGTAGCGCTCACCTTGTCTTCTCCGGACAAGGTGTTTTCCGGATGCCCCAAACAATCGGAAAGGGGATTCATCAGAGAAAATGACTTTACCCCAGTCCTCAGCAGTCCAATCCCTGTACCTTTTGCAGAATATCAGTCTGTCCCTGATGTTTTTCCTGGAGAGAAGTGGCTTTTTTTCTGCCCTTCTTGACACCAGGCCATCCTCCAAAAGTCTTCACCTCACTGTGCGTGCAGATGCACTCACACCTGCCTGCTGCCATTCCTGAGCAAGCTCTGCACTGGTGGTGCCCCGATCCCGCAGCTGAATCATCTTTAGGAGACGGTCCTGGCGCTTGCTGGACTTTCTTGGGCGCCCTGACGCCTTCTTCACAACAATTGAACCTCTCTCCTTGAAGTTCTTGATGATCTGAAACATGGTTTGATTTAGGTGCAATCTTACTAGAAGCAATATCCTTGCCTGTGAAGCCCTTTTTGTGCAAAGCAATGATGACGGCACGTGTTTCCTTGCAGATAACCATGGTTAACAGAGGAAGAACAATGATTTCAAGCACCACCCTCCTTTTAAAGCTTCCAGTCTGTTATTCTAACTCAATCAGCATGACAGAGTGATCTCCAGCCTTGTCCTCGTCAACACTCTCACCTGTGTTAACGAGAGAATCACTGACATGATGGCAGCTGGTCCTTTTGTGGCAGGGCTGAAATGCAGTGGAAATGTTTTTTTGGGACTAAGTTCATTTTCATGGCTTTTCAATAAATTGCAATTCATCTGATCACTCTTCATGACATTCTGGAGTATATGCAAATTGCCATCATCAAAACTGAGGCAGCAGACTTTGTGAAAATTAGTATTTGTGTCATTCTCAAAACGTTTGACCACGACTGTAGAATAATAGTGAAGACATCAAAACTATGAAATAACACATATGGAATCATGTAGTAACCAAAAAAGTGTTAAACAAATCAAATATGTTTTATATTTGAGATTCTTCAAATAGCCACACTTTGCCTTGATGACAACTTTGCACACTCTTGGCATTCTCTCAACCAGCTTCATGAGGTAGTCACCTGGAATGCATTTCAATTAACAGGTGTGCCTTCTTAAAAGTTAATTTGTGGAATTTATTTCCTTCTTAATGCGTTTGAGCCAATCAGTTGTGTTGTGACAAGGTAGGTACAGAAGATAGCCCTATTTGGTAAAAGACCAAGTCCATATTATGGCAAGAACAGCTCAAATAAGCAAAGATAAATGACAGTCCATCATTACTTTAAGACATGAAGGTCAGTCAATACGGAACATTTCAAGAACTTTTAAAGTTTCTTCAAGTGCAGTCGCAAAAATCATCAAGCGCTATGATGAAACTGGCTCTCATGAGGACCGCCACAGGAATGGAAGACCCAGAGTTACTTCTGCTGCAGAGGACAAGTTCATTAGAGTTACCAGCCTCAGAAATTGCAGCCCAAATAAATGCTTCACAGAGTTCAAGTAACAGACACATCTCAACATCAACTGTTCAAAGGGGACTGTGTGAACCAGGCCTTCATGGTCGAATTGCTGCAAAGAAACCACTACTAAAGGCCACCAATAAGAAGAAGAGACCTGCTTGGGCCAAGAAACACGAGTAACGGACATTAGACCAGTGGAAATTTGTCTTTTGGTCTGGAGTCCAAATTTGAGATTTTTGGTTCCAACCGCCGTGTCTTTGTGAGACGCGGTGTGGGTGAACGGATGATCTCTGCATGTGTATTTCCCACCGTAAAGCATGGAGGAGGAGGTGTTATGGTGTGGGGGTGCTTTGCTGGTGACACTATCTGTGATTTATTTAGAATTTAACCAGCATGGCTACCACAGCATTCTACAGCGATACGCCATCACATCTGGTTTGGGCTTAGTGGGACTATCATTTGTTTTTCAACAGGACAATGACCCAACACAACTCCAGGCTAAGGGCTATTTTACCAAGAAGGAGAGTGATGGAGTGCTGCATCAGATGACCTTGTCTCCACAATCCCCTGACCTCAACCCAATTGAGATGGCTTGGGATGAGTCGGACCGCAGAGTGAAGGAAAAGCAGCCAACAAGTGCTCAGCATATGTGGGAACTCCTTCAAGACTGTTGGAAAAGCATTCCAGGTGAAGCTGGTTGAGAGAATGCCAAGAGTGTGCAAAGCTGTCATCAAGGCAAAGGGTGGCTATTTGAAGAATCTCAAATATAAAATATGTGTTATTTCATAGTTTTGATGTCTTCACTATTATTCTACAATGTAAAAAATAGTAACAATAAAGAAAAAGCCTTGAATGTGTCCATACCTTTGACTGGTAGTGTATAAAGAAAGATAAGAGATCAAATCTTTAACTCCAGAGTATTTAGAATTAATCAGATGTTTAATTAGTTTTTTCCTCCAAAAAGTGAATGTATTGTGAAATGCCCATATGACAAAACGGTAGTCATTCTAGTGCTCTACCCGACCATACAGTTTAGTATTTGTCCCATGACTAACCTTTGCCTTCTCGATGGCTCCTTGGGGTAGATACAGCCGGGGGAATACGAAAGCCCCTCCCATCATTGGCTGACAGCTGATCCCTGAAATATTGTTCAGAACCTCCGGGACCCAGTTCATGTTATGGACCAGCATGGCCTGGATAGGCTGGGTCTCCTGGGTCTCTTGGTGGAGATGGGAGAGAAGACAGGGAGAGGAAGGACAGGGGGGAGAGCGTATTGTATGGGACACTGAGATGCTGTTGTGAATACAGAAATAAATGAAGTTGTTTGATTTTGATGAACTATTTCTTATTTTAGAGACATCAATGCTTGCAGTGCACTATCATTAAACTACTTATGACTAACTGTTACATGGCATATGCTATCTACTAAGCCTAACGTCATACTGTAGTTTGTGACCTATTTTGATGCGTCTCACCTGGGCGTAGACCGGGTATGAGGGGTCCCCTGGCCTGGGAGGGTTAGCCATGAGCTCCAGGGCTAGCTGACCAGTCACTGCCGCGCAGCTGTCAGTGGAGAAGATGGTGTAGGCGTACCTCATGACGGTGGGGTCAAGGTTCACCAGTTTCCACATACCCACCTCGTAGCCCACACCTGGGCAGGGAGAAGAGACATACAGGGTAGTGGTCAAACACTGGCCTGCTGGGTTCAGAACAGGTTTGTACACCACAGGAAGCCTGAAGTGGATCTGTTAGGGAACTGCCAGCTATTTAATGTACTTTTGTCACTATTGTGTTTGTGTTGGCAGCTCATGCTGAAAGTATTTGACAGTTTTAAATAAGTAGTAGGCTAGTAGCTAATGACTTAATTGAGTAGCTAATGGGGTAATACGATCCAGATCATTGTAGAGTCCTCAGCCTTTTTCTCACTCCTCACCTTACCATTTAACCCCCTTCTCAAAACGGCAAATCCTTTCATGGTGATGCCACGGGCGGCATATTCCATTTTCCTTCCCTTTGTGCATGAAAGAATCAACCACCACAACCCTACCTACCGGCCTTACAAGCCAACAAAATCCATCATCAAATCCTCGCCCCCCTGCCTCTGCTGTGTGTGTGAAATAAATCAGATAATTGGATACTTCCTCATTCATCCAGCAGCATTCTAATAAATGCGCCATGGTGGCATTCTGAACTTTGAACCAGTCAATTACAAAACCTCCTATTACATTCCACCGTCAGTTGAATGTATGAATCTGTTAGTCTATTGCCATAGACAGACTGCTGCTGTACTCACTCTCCCATGAAGCCTTTGGATGCTGAGTGGAAAGAGGCCACCTCCACTGTGTGAGAGAGAGGAGGCCCCATGTCTCAGACATAACCTTCTATAGGAGACAAACTCACTGCCCTCCCCGAACATACTGTCCTGATACACCTGTGGATCGAATGAAACAGAGAATGGTGAATGGAAGACAGAGAAAAACAATAGTCAATTTGGAGAGAAGTGAAATATTTGTGATTGAAAATAAGTAATTTGCCAGGAGAGAATACAGACAGGAAGTCACCTCATCAGCCATGAGGAAGAGCCTCTCCTCAGCAGCGAATCGGATCACCCCTTCAATACACTTCCTGCTCTGAACATGACCTAGCAACAACAAAACAAAACAAATTACATCCTCCATTATGGCTGCTGTGGTATCTTTGCCCGCAAATAGGTTTAATTTACATTCTTCATAGGGTCAAATAGTGGGGTACTACTGTATCGACCATCATGGAACCGGAACAACACGTTACCTGTAGGATTCCCCGGGTTGATTACGTACAAAGCGACAGAGTTGCAGACACCCTTAGAGATCTGTAGTGCTCTGCGTAGCTCCTCCACCTCCATTGCCCAGCCATGCTCTTCATCTAGGTAGTACGGAACAATGGCTGCACCGAGCCTTTGCTACATAATTTTAAAAGAAGAGTAGGTGGGCACAGCGGTCAGCACACCTGTCGGAAGTGAGGCCTGATTGTGGACCAGCAGCTTCAACACTTGCTAAAAACAGAAAGCAGAAAATACAGAGGGAAAGATGAATGAGACATGATGATGATGATCATGATGGTGATGAAGATAATTCTCACCATTATTGACCTTTGAGAGACAGAGGTCATGAAGATATTCTCGGGGGACGATGGTACACCACCATCTCGTCGAGAGATGAAGTTGGACACGCAGCACTGTATATAAGAGATACCACCAGAGGGCGTGTATGAGCCTGATAAGGCAGAAGAAGAAAAAAACACAGGTAAACACACATCACATATACCAGCCAGGTCACCCATGATACAAGTCAGTATTCGACGTCCATCCATGTCTGAGGACGTCGGGAGATGACGTCCAAACCGGCCACTAGAGGCAATAGTGAGCACTGTTACCTTCAAGTAGGTTTCGTTTTGCTAAGGTGTTGTGGATGGGCGTAAGCATCTGCCTCTGGTGCCAAAGGTAGCTTTTTTTTTATTAATTTTTTTAATTAACCCATCCACCCCTCTTCGGAGGACAACCATATTTTTAGTTTTTTTACAGCTTTTCTGCTACATATACATTTTACATACGTGGTACTTTTATATAAAGCAATCACATAACAATAATACATTACCAAACATAAGCTCTTTAATCCCACCCCTCAGCCACTCTCAGCCCATCCCACCTATCACCATAGACCACCCTCGTTTGGTTTCCATGTGCCATATATCTTTCAATTGTGCTGTGATGTTTTACATACATTTTTAACCTTTCTAATCATATAGTATCCACAGATTGTGAGCTAAAGATAAACCTTTCCTACGAGTATTATTATATTATTTATTGACTGGTTGCATGTTTTAATCCAGCAATAAAAAGATTGTATTTGAGATTTTTGTTTTAATCCAGCGATAGAAAGCATCTGCCTCTGGTGCCAAAGGTTGCATGCTTTTGAAATTTTTGTTTTAAGCCCATCCTAATCCTTACCCATTCAGAGTTAATGCCTAACCTTAAGAATTCAGAGTTAATGCCTAAACTTAACCCTAACCCTTAGAAGTCGGAGTTAATGCTGGTAGTATATACTGAGAGTCATGATCTGCCACAACTTCACACTTTCATACTGTAGACTAGACATAGTTCGGTAGGCCCAATTGCAGTCCTCCTTACCTACAACCATTGTTACTAAAGTTGCACTGGAAGACGCTCGTTATTTACTGACTGACTGCCTCAGACCACTAGTAGAACAGCTAAGTGCGTTGTCAGATGCTTTTTAGCCCTTGTGCATCACTTTATACACAGACGATCTTCGCTAAACATAGAATCAAGATGTTTATCTATCTCAGAACGAAGTTGACTACAAAAACAAAGTTGCCTTAGGTGCCTTAGTTGTCTTAGGCAATTGTTACAAACAAGCGAAGGATAAAAAGATTAAAACCGAGATGACTGAATTAAAATACACTCAATGGCCAGTTTATTAGATACACCCATCTAGTACTGAGTCGGACCCCCCTTTGCCTCCAGAACAGCCTGAATTCTTCGGGCATGGATTCTATAAAGTGTCGGAAACGTTCCACAGGGATGTTGGTCACTTCTGACGCGATGGCATCACGCAGTTGCTGCAGATTTGACGGCGGTACATTCATGCTGCGAACAGCCCTTTCAATCTCATCCCAAAGATGCTCTATTGGGTTTTGTCAGCAACAATGTTCAGGTATGCTGTGGCATTCAATAGTTGCTCAATTGGTATCAAGAGACCTAACGTGTGCCAGGAAAACATTCCCCACACCAGTACACTACCAGCCTGTACCGTTGACACCAGGCAAGATGGATCCATGGACTCAAGCTGCTTACGCCAAATCCTGACACGCAACAGGAACCGGGATTCGTTGGACCAGGCAATGTTTTTCCACTCCTCAATTGTCCAGTGTTGGTGATCTCGTGCCCACTGAAGCCACTTCTTCTTGTTTTTAGCTGATTGGAGTGGAATAGAATATAACTTATAAATGCCTCATGAGCATAGTTCAACCGTCATACCCCTTCAGAACCCAAAATATAAGCTTGTTTTACTCCAATGTTTGTAAACCAAGTAAATGTAAACAAACACAATAGGAGTCCTGCACTGGGTCGAATATCCACAGTTCTTCCCGCTGGCAGGTGGAATTAGCTGGGAAGTGGAATGAAAACATTATTTCAACCTGAGGGTCGGCTTGAGTTTCAGAACAATTATATTGCAGTTCGAAACGTTTTAAATCATGATCATATTTTACAAACCCAAGAGCTTGTTGTGTATAGGCCTAGGCTATACACTAGTGCACAAAATATTAGGAACACCTGCTCTTTCCATGACATTGACTGATCAGGTGAAAGCTATGATCCCTTATTGATGTCACCTGTTAAATCCACTTCAATCAGACCAGAGAATCTTGTTTCTCATGGTCTGAGAGTCCTTTAGGTGCCTTTTGGCAAACTCCAAACAGGCTGTCATGTGCCTTTTACTGAGGAGTGGCTTCCGTCTGGCCACTCTACCATAAAGGCCTGATTGGTGGAGTGCTGCAGAGATGGCTGTCCTTCTGGAAGTTTCTCCCATCTCCACAGAGGAACTCTTGAGCTCTGTCAGAGTGACCATTGGGTTCTTGGTCACCTCCCTGACTAAGGCCCTTCTCCCCCGATTGTTCAGTTTGGCCGGGCGGCCAAATCTAGGAAGAGTCTTGGTGTTTCCTAACTTCTCCCATTTAAGAATGATGGAGGCCACTGTGTTCTTGCGGACCTTCAACGCTTTCTCATTATGTGGTATTGTGTGTAGATTGATGAGGGAAAAAAGTATTTTAATCAATTTCAGACTGTAACGTAACAAAATGTGGAAAAAGTCATGGGGTCTGAATACTTTTCGAATGCACTACACATCAAATTGTAATGGCACTATTACCATATATCAGTTCAATTGGTACAGCATTCTCACTAATGGGTGCAACAAATATAGCCGTCTTACAAGGCACGCCTCCAAATATGTTAATGAGTCAGCGATTCTTTCTCCTCCCACAAAATGTTTCCACAATGCACCATCATTTACAGAATGCTGCAGTAAATATACAGCAAAAAAGCAATACAGTACTTTATTGTTAAGTTGTATTGTAATAGAATTACAGCAATTGCTAACAGTGAATATGTAATTATATATTACAGCATACCAATGAATATTTGGTGCATTATATCACTTGCACTTGTAGAGGCCTTAACAAAGGCTTCTAAATTGTCATGACTACTGGCAGGGCCAGATTAAGGTTAAAACAGAGCAAATGGACATGACTAAACAGTCAATCATTAAAGGTTTGAGACTTGCTTCCACTCTGATCTATTCCCTATATATTTAATTGTTAGGGAACTACTACCGCATATCACTTAAATTGGTACAGCACTCTCACTAACGGGTGCAACAAGTATAGCCTCTTAATGTGTTAATAAGCCAAAACAATAGCATGCAGCCACAAAAGGTTTTTGGCGCTCCAAAGTTACAGTATGGTACTGTATTCTGTGGGGGCAATACTGAATTACAGTAAATTACTGTAGATTTACAGGAAAAGGTTTTTAGATTTAAAAAATACAGTATGGTACTGAATTACAGTAAATTACTGGCAGCACACTAGCCAGTAAGTTACTGTAGATTTATAGGATAAATATATATAAAACAAAAATATGGTACTGTATATTCTGTGGGGTACAACATTCTCACTAATGGGTGCAACAAAATACAAGGCATGCCTCAAAATATGTCCATGAGCCAGAGGTTCTTTCGCTGCCCACAACATTTTCCACAATGCACCATAATTCACAGTATGCTGCTATAAATATACAGCAAAACAGGTAATACAGTACTTTTACAGCAGTGCAGCGCAACACTGTTAAGTGCCTATAATGCATTGCTTTTTACAGTACAGTACTGTAATATAGAATTACAGTACTGTAATATAGAATTACAGTAGCTAACTGTGAAAGTTTTGCTGTAAATTTACAGCAATTTGTTAACGTGTGTGGCTGGGATACTGTTAACCCTATGCACAGCATTCCACGTTCTATATAGGGCTAGGATAGGCTACTGTGAGATCTTACCAGTGTGAGTTCTGCTCTAATCTGATTGGCTCGTCTCACCAAGGGCTCCAGCTCTGTCTGTTTGATGCTCCTCGTCTTGCGGCAGAGCTCTCTCAGGCAGAGGAGAGACATTCTACTATCACACCTGCTGGTCCTCTCAGACAAATGGAATAGTATCTGATGAGATGCCTATTGACTTGTCGACTTCTATGGCTCCTTGAACTTTTCTCATGTTGTTGGTGAGGAAGTGAGTAGGGGTAAAGCTCCCCCCCAAAGTTATTTCCTGCAGAGGAACCAGTAAACTCATCAGTTTTGCAAGTTGAGCCTGCTTTAAAGTTGCCCCAGGCAAATTCCAGTAAGCCTAAAACAGATATATCTGGTTCATCGCCATTGTTTGTTTGTTTTTGTGGAAAATTGTGTTTATTAGATTTTTTTCCACATAGAATTCAATAAGACATTAATGTGAAATTCAATTATACAAGTACAACAAACAAAACAAACCCCCCAAAAAGCTAACATTTAATATAGATACAGTACATCCCAATTGCACATCATGCCATCTGCATTCATATGCCATCACGCCATTTTAGTTGTTACCTCAGATCACATATCATACACATATCAATTATTAAATGTCTATAATGACTCTGTATATTCTAACCAGGGATCCCAAGTCTTATGAAAGGACTGTGGATTACCTTCTAGTGGCATACATTAATTGACCTCATTAATCCATTGAGTGATATTGGGAGGATCCTCATGGTTCCACTTAAAAGTTATACATCTTTTAGCCACAGTCATAGCTAAACTAAAACAATTATTCAATCTCTGAGAAGTAAGTTGTAAATCAGATAGATCCCCAAGGATTGGCATCATGGGAGTTAAATGTAGGTCTACTTCCCTATGAAGGACCTCATGTAAAATTATTTCAATCTCCAGTCTCCATTGTTCAAGTTTAGGGCAGGCCCATGTCATGTGTAATGGAGTACCCGTGTCTGTTTTACAGCGAGGACAGTGTGGAGATTAATATTATTTAAAGAGGCACCATTTGGACTGGAAGATAGTGTTGTTTAAGTTAGAGACATTATATTCCAGTTCACCCAAGGTACTTTTATGGAAATGGTGTCGTTTAAGTTGGAGACATTATCTTCCAGAGTTTTATGCACATTGTAATAATAAATAAGAACTTGGATAGGACCACAGTTCTGCAGTGTACTGAGTAGCACTGGGCATATATACAGTACCAGTCAAAAGTTTGGACACACCTACTCATTCAAGGGTTTTTCTTTATTTTTACTATTTTCTACATTGTAGAATAATAGTGAAGACATCAAAACTATGAAATAACACATATGGAATCATGTAGCAACCAAAAAAGTGTTAAATAAATCAAAATACATTTTCTATTTGAGATTCTTCAAAGTAGCCACTCTTTGCCTTGATGACAGCTTTGCACACTCTTGGCATTCTCTCAACCAGCGTCATGAGGTAGTCACCTGGAAAGCATTTCAATTAACAGGTGTGCCTTGTTAAAAGTTAATTTGTGGGGGCATGCCTTACTAGGCCAACCATTGATGCTTTAGTTGTTAAAGGATGGATACTTCAAAAGAAGTGAGAGCTTTAGGCTTCATGTTTAAAAATGAAAAGTCACTCCACTGGAATGTCATCATTTGAGCATTACACAGAAATCACATGCTGTGAAGAAATGGGTTTAACAGCTGCCAATTACAGCAGTTTATTAATTAAGAGCGTATCCCTCTCCTATTTCTCTTTCACCCTTGTTGTGGTAGCTTTGGAATATTCCGATAATAGGCTGTAGGTTTCTGACATCCCACTGGGCACACACTGGTTGAATCAACGTTGTTTCCATGTCATTTCAATGAAATGACGTGGAACCAACGTGGAATAGACGTTGAATTGATGTCTGTGCCCAGTAGAATGTGTTTGCATACCGTGCCTAATGAAAGTCTACAGACCCCTTGCACACATTTTGCTGCCTTAAAATTAAATCTAAAAAGGGATTCAATTAGATTTTTTCCCTACAGATCTATACAACCTACTCCACATTTTCATGTCAACAAACACTTACCATCCAGTAAAAGTGTATTTTATTATGATAAAGGCATACTTCTATTTGCCTGGTTCTACCAGGCTAGACTTTTATAGCCTTAGCTATGATTTCACAACTCCAAAGACAAGAATGTCTATGGAGTTATGAACGTATGGTTTCCAGGAAAGTGCAGCACCAACTGCAAAGGTCCACTATCACTTGATATTTGTAAAAAGATCCACTGTATACTACTACTACTATAGCCTAATCATACATTATAATTTGATATCTTCTTGCCTAGTTTACAACTCGTAAATGTGTGTTATAGCCTATTTGCTTTTTGAAGCCAATGCATTTACATCTAGAATCCTATTTTTTTTCTAGTGATATGACTGATGTTCAATTTAGAGAGATAATTATATTTATACAGTGGGGGAAAAAAGTATTTAGTCAGCCACCAATTGTGCAAGTATATTTGCAAATTATGGTGGAAAATAAGTATTTGGTCAACAAGCAAGATTTCTGGCTCTCACAGACCTGTAACTTCTTCTTTAAGAGGCTCCTCTGTCCTCCACTCATTACCTGTATTAATGGCACCTGTTTGAACTTGTTATCAGTATAAAAGACACCTGTCCACAACCTGGAAAGTCTGTGTTGCCCAGCGACAGCCCCAAAACATCACTGCTCTAGAGGAGATCTGCATGGAGGAATGGGCCAAAATACCAGCAACAGTGTGTGAAAACCTTGTGAAGACTTACAGAAAACATTTGACCTGTGTCATTGCCAACAAAGGGTATATAACAAAGTATTGAGAAACTTTTGTTATTGACCAAATACTTATTTTCCACCATAATTTGCAAATAAATTCATAAAAAATCCTACAATGTGATTTTCTGGATTTTTTTTCCTCATTTTGTCTGTCATAGTTGATGTGTACCTATGATGAAAATTACAGGCCTCTCTCATCTTTTTAAGTGGGAGAACTTGCACAATTGGTGGCTGACTAAATACTTTTTTCCCCCACTGTATGTTCAAGTCCATAAAGACCTAGGCACAGATAATCTTTGGTCTAGGCCAGCTATACTCAATAGGCAGACCGCGGTCCGAATACAGACCAGGGGGTCCAACTAACTCAGAAACTCAGTCGGGCTTTCAGTTTACTGCTGTAGAGAGTTGTAATAGTAGAATGCACAAGGTGTGTTACTCTGCCAATAAATGTGGTCCTCTGTAGCTCAGCTGGTAGAGCATGGCGCTTGTAACGTCAGGGTAGTGGGTTCAATCCCCCGGGACCACCCATACGCAAAAAAAAAATTATGCACGCATGACTGTAAGTCGCTTTGGATAAAAGTGTCTGCTAAATGGCATATTATTATTATTATAAATGGCAATATCCATGCTGCCACCAAGGAAATGTGTGTGACCAACTTGACGTCTACTCACATGCCTCTAAACCAGGGGTGTCAAACTCATTCCATGGAAGGGCCTAGTGTCTGCTGGTTTTTGGTTTTTCCTTTCAATTAAGACCTAGACAACCAGGTGAGGGGAGTTCCTTACTAATTAGTGACCTTAATTCATCAATCAAGTACAAGGAAGGAGCAAAAACCCGCAGACACTCAGACATTTTTTTACAATCTGATTTTACTGCTTACCTGATGTGGAAAAGAGTTCCATGTGGTCATGGCTCTATTTAGTACTGTGAGTTTCCCAGCCTCTGTTCTGGACTTAGGGACTGTGAAGAGACCCCTGGTGACATGTCTTTTCAGGTATGGGTGTTTGAGCTGTGTGTTAGCTGTTTGAAGTGACAGTTTGGTGCTTTCAACACGTCAATATCTCTCACAAAGACAAGTATTGATGCAGTCAATCTTTCCTGTACTTTGAGCCAGGAGAGATTGACATGCATATTCTTGATATTAGCCCTCCGAGAACAACAAAAAGTATGAAAATGTATGCACTGTAAGTCACTCTGGATAAGAACGTCTGCTAAATGACTCAAATGTAAAATGTACGTTTATGGGCCAACTGTAGTTTGCCGGTGTTCTTCTTTGTGGCACTTGGCCATATAACTGGGCAGTAGTCCAGGTGTGATAAAATTAGGGCCTATAGGACTTGTTTGGTTGATTGTGGTGTCAAGAAAGCAGAGCTTTATCAAGGACAGACCTCTTCCCATATTAGTAACTGTTGCATCAATACGTTTTGACCATGTCAGTTTACAATCTAGGGTTACACCAAGCAGTTTAGTCTCCTCAACTTGCTCAATTGCAAAAAAAATAATAATAATGTTTTAGTCATTTAGCAGACGCTCTTATCCAGAGCAACTTACAGTTAGTGAGTGCGCCATGCTCTACCAACTGAGCTACACGGGGCCCATAATTATTATTAATTATGTCACAAGATTTAGATGAGGTTTAGGGTTTAGAGAATGATTTGTCTCAAATACAATGCTTTAGTTTATATATTTAGGACGAGCTTATTACTAGCCACCCATTCTAAAACTGACTGCAGCTCTTTGTTAAGGATTGCAGTGCTTACACTTGCTGTTGTAGCTGACATGTATAATGTTGAGTCATCAGCGTCCATTAGCCTCTGTCCAGACAGGACACTCTCTTTGCATGGCACTTCGATACAAAGTGATTTCCGTAGCAGATTAGGAGAGCATTTTCGCTAAACCTAACCCTAACCTCAGTCTCCTAGTCAGCTACGTTAATTCTCCTAACCTGCTACGAAAAAGTCACTTCCGTATCAAAGTTGCGTGAAAAGAGTGTTTCCCCTGCTGAGTCCCTAACAACCGGATGTTCCAGTTTTCAGGGGAAATGGAAAGAGAGCCTGTGACACAACTACTGCTTTTGGATGTTAACAAGGCAACACTCCATCTTAACTCCTCCTCCACGTTTACTGGATTGGTTGAACAGTGTAGAAGGGAACCTCCCCCAACAGTTTTTGTTCTTCTCATCAAGACCAGCATGTAGGGCAGTGGTATTCAATGTTGCGAAAAAATTAAGAGTAAAGATTATTGTATGGGACAACATACAAACGTTTTTTTTAAAGATCATTTGAAAAATAAAATGCTATTGAGTAAATATATTTATTGGTTTCTTTTCATTTTGACAAGAAATGAAAATGCAAGTAATTGAAGTTTATCGATTTTAAGGCTGTGCCATTAGATTTGGGGTGAGGTCATGAGAAATTCCTTGGGAAAAAATGGGGTACCCAGAAATTCCCGCTGAAAATATTTGAATACCACTAATGTAGGGGATCTAGTTTCAGGAGTTTATTTTACGCCTGCTACGTTAGGTTAGCGTACATAGCTCAGCTGGTAGAGCACGGCGCTTGTAACGCAAAGGTAGTGGGTTCAATCCCCGGGACCACCCATACACAAAAATGTATGCACGCATGACTGTAAGTCGCTTTGGATAAAAGCGTCTGCTAAATGGCATATTATTATATTATTATTATTATAGACACACAGGCTTTACTCAAGGTTAGTGGTAGGTCAGTAGTAAAAATGTAAAACAGTAAAGGACCAAGATAGCTGTGTTGAGGTATACCACACTCTACCTGGTTTATGTTAGAGAGGCTTCCATTAAAGAAAACCCTCTGTGTTCTGTTAGATAGGTAGCTCTCAATCCACGATATGGCAGAGGATGTAAAGCCATAACACATACGTTTATTCAGCAGCAGATTATGATTGATAATGTCAAAGCTGCACTGAAGTCTAACAAAACATCTCCCACAATCTTCTTATTATCCATTTCTTTCAGCCAATCATAAGTCATTTGTGTCAGTCCGTACATGTTGAATGCCCTTCTCTATAAGCATGCTGAAAGTCTGTTGTTAATTTGTGTACTGTGAAATAGCATTGTATCTGTCAAACACAATTTTTTCCAAAGGTTTACTAAGCGTCGGCATTGAGGCCAATGGAATGGATGGAGTAAAAGGCCAGCAACACTCTATTCTGCAGTCCACCACGAAATAACAACATCTATAGATTCTACAGACCCTACTAAGTACTCCCAACCCCACTTTTACACTGGCACAAATAAAAAATAATCTCTACAGCCCAACAATATAAATATACCATGAACATTGTATTTTTCAATAGTGCTCTTAAAAAATGTTTTTAAAAACATCTATTTTTTTCATTCTTTTTAAAAACTTGCGCCTTGCATTATAAGCAACATAAAAAAGTGCCATTGATTACAATGTAATATATTTTGAATGAGTTATTGACATTGCAATGTTTTGAAATGTGGACTTTTATTTTGAATGTTTCTTTATTACCATACATAAGTGACATCATAATTTGTGCTGCTGGCAGAATAGTAGTTACTCACACAACCTTGAAACTGCTATTCAGATCTTAGCACAGTCATTTCATTCTGTAACTATTACAATGCTGTCAATTTTGTTAAATTTGTGATATTTTATTAATATTCTGAGAAAATTGTAAGAATCTCTGATTGTTAAACTCTCTGTCTAATTTGACTATAGCCGTATTATGTATATCACATAGTCAGTAAGTAAAGTGTGATTGATGTGTTTAATAGAATCGTTGAGAATCTGAGGGGATTTAAAACATTCAGCTTTAGTCAGTAGGCCTATTTGTAGTTTTACTGTATTTACAGTTGAAGTCGGAAGTTTACATACACTTAGGATGGAGTCATTAAAACTATTTTTTCAACCACTCAAACTATAGTTTTGTTAAGTCGGTTAGGACATCTACTTTGTGCATGACACAAGTAATTTTTCCAACAATTGTTTACAGACAGATTATTTCACTTATAATTCACTGTATCACAATTCCAGTGGGTCAGAAGTTTACATACACTAAGTTGACTGTGCCTTTAAACAGCTTGGAAAATTCCAGAAAATGATGTCATGGCCTTAGAAGCTTCTGATAGGCTAATTGACATCATTTGAGTCAATTGGAGGTGTACCTGTGGATGTATTTCAAGGCCTACCTTCAAACTCAGTGCCTCTTTGCTTTATATCATGGGAAAATCAAAAGAAATCAGCCAAGACCTCAGAAAAAAAATTGTAGACCTCCACAAGTCTGGTTCATCCTTGGGAGCAATTTCCAAACGCCTGAAGGTACCAATTTCATCTGTACAAACAATAGTAAGCAAGTATAAACACCATGGGACCACGTAGCCGTCATACCGCTCAGGAAGGAGACGTGTTCTGTCTCCTAGAGATGAACGTACTTTGGTGCGACAACATCAAAGGACCTTGAGAGGATGCTGGAGGAAACAGGTACAAATGTATCTATGTCCACAGTAAAACGAGTCCTATATCGACATAACCTGAAAGGCAGCTCAGCAAGGAAGAAGCCACTGCTCCAATACCACCATAAAAAAGCCAGACTACGGTTTGCAACTGCACATAGGGACAAAGATCGTACTTTTTGGAGAAATGTCCTCTGGTCTGATGAAACAAAAATAGGACTGTTTGGCCATAATGACCATCGTTATGTTGGAGGAAAAAGGGGGTTGCTTGCAAGCCGAAGAACACCATCCCAAACGTGAAGCACAGGGGTGGCAGCATCATGCTGTGGGGGTGCTTTGCTGCAGGAGGGACTGGTGCACTTCACAAAATAGATGGCATCATGAGGAAGGAAAATTATGTGGATATATTGAAGCAACATCTCAAGACATTAGTCAGGAAGTTAAAGCTTGGTCGCAAATGGGTCTTCCAAATGGATAATGACCCCAAGCATACTTCCAAAGTTGTGGCAAAATGGCTTAAGGACAACAAAGTCAAGGTATTGGAGTGGCCATCTCAAAGCCCTGACCTCAATCCTCTAGAAAATGTGTGGGCAGAACTGAAAAAGCATGTGCGAGCAAGGAGGCCTACAAACCTGACTCAGTTACACCAGCTCTGTCAGGAGGAATGGGCCAAAATTCACCCAACTTATTGTGGGAAGCTTGTGGAAGGCTACCTGAAACGTTTGACCCAAGTTAAACAATTTAAAGGCAATGCTACCAAATACTAATTGAGTGTATGTAAACTTCTGACCCACTGGGAATATGATGAAATAAATAAAAAGCTGAAATAAATCATGATCTCTACTATTATTCTGACATTTCACATTCTTAAAATAAAGTTAGGATTAGGATAGGATTAAATGTCAGGAATTGTGAAAAACTGAGTTTAAATGTATTTGGCTTAGGTGTATGTAAACTTCCGACTTCAACTGTATATACTTATTGAATATGACACTAAGACTGTTATATGTTATAGAATAATAAATGTCCTTGATGAAGTGTTTTATCCTGACAAACTAGAGGGTGGCTAAATTCCCCTTGAAATGCCATTGGAGTAACTCAGCACAGATTGCATCCAATGCTTTAAAAAGTTTGTCATCATTTTTACATCTTAGTCATTTAGCAGACACTCTTATGCAGAGCGACTTACAGCTAGTGCATTCATCTTCATCTTAAGATAGCTAGGTGACACAACCACATATCACAGTCATAGTAAGTATTGAATTGACATGATAGACGTTGCCATTTTACAGGTACGTGTATTTAAGTATACATTCGGATGTTAGTGAATATGGCCAAAATCTATCATTACCTCAAAAATGTCAACTTTGACAGCATTTACACTTTCCCCTTAGTTCCAATATCTCTGCCCCACAATGGCAGGTCCTAACAAGGTAAAGTTGTTATTGTTAAGAAGAGTCTTTCTGAGTATTTAGGGGGGGGGTCTACACTGTCTGAGACAGGTATTTTCATTCTCTAATGCCAAAGTTTGACAAAATATGGAAAATATGCTTTTTCTGTGTACATGTATGACTTGAAGCATAATAATTATGTTAAAAGCCGCTCACGCCCAGGTTTTGTTGAAATGAATAGGAGCCTCTCACGCTTGGCAAAAGTCTGATGTAGCAGGCCAGTAAAACGGATTTGGTCACACTTTATTTGGATAGTCCCATATAGATGATCTACAGATGGTCATACTATCAACAAACTATAAGTTGATAAGCAACTGCATGTTATGGTTAGTGTTAGGTTTAGAATTAGGGTAAGGGTTAAGGTTAGTAAATTATAAGGGTTAGGGTTAAGTTTAGGCTTAGGATAAGGGTTAGGGTTTGTGGATAGTTAGCTGAAATGCTGTTGACAGTTATTGAACATCTACTGAACATCTACAAACCATCTTTGGACTATCCAAATCCATAATTTTTCTACGTAGGTCATGTTTTTTAAGTTTTTTTTTTAACGTTGTATTATTTAAATATGGTCTGTCAAAATATATAAAAACTTTATAAATGAGGTTACTGGTTGCTATTTTGATTCTCTGTACTCTGTTTGTGAAGTTAAATGTATTATTCATTATTGGGCTATGAGGTGAGGTTAGGTGAAGCCAGTTTTCAGGAGAACTCCTTGAGGAAATGCAGGTGGAAGTTCTTCAGGCGTTTCAGTACCTCTTCCATGGTCTCCACTGGGGTCATGACACACAGTCTGAAGAGAGAGAAATCAGTGGGGAAGTATAACCGTTTAAATAGAATGATGAGGCTAATGCTATGCTGCCCTGTCAATTTGGATAGGATGAGTACTGGATATGGAACCATTGACTACTGGAGTGTGAGATGTTTTATGGTGACATTTCTATGTCCAGAAGCAGTTGCCAGAGAGACAGAGAGAGGATTGTACCTGATGTGGTGGGTGCCTTCCTTCTGTCCATACTGACACCCTGGCCCCACACACACTCCTGCTTCCTCTAGTAACCGTTTACAGTACCATAGGTCAGGCTGCATCCCTACTACCTGCAATGGGAAACAGAAAACTCTGAGATATACAGTACCAGTCAAAAGTTTGGACACACCTACTCATTCAAGGGGTTTTCTTTATTTTTTACTATTTTCTACGTTGTACAGTCGTGGTCAAAATTGAGAATGACACAAGTATTGGTCTTCACAAAGTTCGCTGCTTGTGTTATGAGATATTTTTGTCAGATGTTACTATGGTATACTGAAGTATAATTACAAGCATTCCATTAGTGTCAAAGGCTTTTATTGACAATTACATTAAGTTTATGCAGAGTCAATATTTGCAGTGTTGACCCTTCTTTTTCAAGACCTCTGCAATCCGCCCTGGCATGCTGTCAATTAACTTCTGGGCCACATCCTGACTGATGGCAGCCCATTCTTGCATAATCAATGCTTGGAGTTTGTCAGAATTTGTGGGTTTTTGTTTGTCCACCTGCCTCTTGAGGATCGACCACAAGTTCTCAATGGGATTAAGGTCTGGGGAGTTTCCTGGCCAGGTAGCTTAGTGGTTAAGAGTGTTGTGCCAGTAACCGAAAGGTCGCTGGTTCTAATCCCCGAGCCGACTAGGTGAAAAATCTGTCGATGTGCCCTTGAGCAAGGCACTTAACCCTAATTGCTCCTGTAAATCGCTCTGGATAAGAGCGTCTGCTAAATGATGTAAATGTAAATGTTGTTCCCCGAGCCACTTAGTTATCACTTTTGCCTTATGGCAAGGTGCTCCATCATGCTGGAAAAGGCACTGGTCGTCACCAAACTGTTCTTGGATGGTTGGGAAAAGTTGCTCTCGGAGGATGTGTTGGTACCATTCTTTATTCATGGATGTGTTCTTAGGCAAAATTGTGAGTGAGCCCACTCTCTTGGCTGAGAAGCAACCCCACACATGAATGGTCTCAGGATGCTTTACTGTTGGCATGACACAGGACTGATGGTAGCGCTCACCTTGTCTTCTCCGGACAAGGTGTTTTCCGGATGCCCCAAACAATCGTTTCAATCGATTCATCAGAGAAAATGACTTTACCCCAGTCCTCAGCATTCCAATCCCTGTACCTTTTGCAGAATATCAGTCTGTCCCTGATGTTTTTCCTGGAGAGAAGTGGCTTCTTTGCTGCCCTTCTTGACACCAGGCCATCCTCCAAAAGTCTTCGCCTCACTGTGCGTGCAGATGCACTCACACCTGCCTGCTGCCATTCCTGAGCAAGCTCTGCACTGGTGGTGCCCCGATCCCGCAGCTGAATCAACTTTAGGAGACGGTCCTGGCGCTTGCTGGACTTTCTTGGGCGCCCTGACGCCTTCTTCACAACAATTGTACCTCTCTCATTGAAGTTCTTGATGATCTGAAAAATGGTTGATTTAGGTGCAATCTTACTAGCAGCAATATCCTTGCCTGTGAAGCCCTTTTTGTGCAAAGCAATGATGACGGCACGTGTTTCCTTGCAGGTAACCATGGTTAACAGAGGAAGAACAATGATTTCAAGCACCACCCTCCTTTTAAAGCTTCCAGTCTGTTATTCTAACTCAATCAGCATGACAGAGTGATCTCCAGACTTGTCCTCGTCAGCACTCTTACCTGTGTTAACGAGAGAATCACTGACATGATGGCAGCTGGTCCTTTTGTGGCAGGGCTGAAATGCAGTGGAAATGTTTTTTTGGGGACTAAGTTCATTTTCATGGCAAAGAGGGACTTTTCAATAAATTGCAATTCATCTGATCACTCTTCATGACATTCTGGAGTATATGCAAATTGCCATCATCAAAACTGAGGCAGCAGACTTTGTGAAAATTAGTATTTGTGTCATTCTCAAAACTTTTGACCACGACTGTAGAATAATAGTGAAGACATCAAAACTATGAAATAACACATATGGAATCATGTAGTAACCAAAAAAGTGTTAAACAAATCAAATATGTTTTATATTTGAGATTCTTCAAATAGCCACCCTTTGCCTTGATGACAACTTTGCACACTCTTGGCATTCTCTCAACCAGCTTCATGAGGTAGTCACCTGGAATGCATTTCAATTAACAGGTGTGCCTTCTTAAAAGTTAATTTGTGGAATTTATTTCCTTCTTAATGCGTTTGAGCCAATCAGTTGTGTTGTGACAAGGTAGGTACAGAAGATAGCCATATTTGGTAAAAGACCAAGTCCATATTATGGCAAGAACAACTCAAATAAGCAAAGAGAAATGACAGTCCATCATTACTTTAAGACATGAAGCTCAGTCAATACGGAACATTTCAAGAACTTTTAAAGTTTCTTCAAGTGCAGTCGCAAAAACCATCAAGCGCTATGATGAAACTGGCTCTCATGAGGACCACCACAGGAATGGAAGACCCAGAGTTACCTCTGTTGCAGAGGATAAGTTCATTAGAGTTACCAGCCTCAGAAATTGCAGCCCAAATAAATGCTTCACAGAGTTCAAGTAACATACACATCTCAACATCAACTGTTCAGAGGGGACTGTGTGAACCAGGCCTTCATGGTCGAATTGCTGCAAAGAAACCACTACTAAAGGCCACCAATAAGAAGAAGAGTCCTGCTTGGGCCAAGAAACACGAGCAATGGACATTGGAGATTTTTGGTTCCAACCGCCGTGTCTTTGTGAGACGCGGTGTGGGTGAACAGATGATCTCTGCATGTGTATTTCCCACCGTAAAGCATGGAGGAGGAGGTATTATGGTGTGGGGGTGCTTTGCTGGTGACACTATCTGTGATTTATTTAGAATTTAACCAGCATGGCTACCACAGCATTCTACAGCGATACGCCATCACATCTGGTTTGGGCGTAGTGGGACTATCATTTGTTTTTCAACAGGACAATGACATAACACACCTCCAGGCTGTGTAAGGGCTATTTTACCAAGAAGGAGAGTGATGGAGTGCTGCATCAGATGACCATGTCTCCACAATCCCCTGACCTCAACCCAATTGAGATGGCTTGGGATGAGTCGGACCGCAGAGTGAAGGAAAAGCAGCCAACAAGTGCTCAGCGTACAGTGGGGGAAAAAGTATTTAGTCAGCCACCAATTGTGCAAGTTCTCCCACTTAAAAAGATGAGAGAGGCCTGTAATTTTCATCATAGGTACACGTCAACTATGACAGACAAAATGAGAATTTTTTTTCCAGAAAATCACATTGTAGGATTTTTTATGAATTTATTTGCAAATTATGGTGGAAAATAAGTATTTGGTCAATACCAAAAGTTTCTCAATACTTTGTTATATACCCTTTGTTGGCAATGACACAGGTCAAACGTTTTCTGTAAGTCTTCACAAGGTTTTCACACACTGTGGCTGGTATTTTGGCCCATTCCTCCATGCAGATCTCCTCTAGAGCAGTGATGTTTTGGGGCTGTCGCTGGGCAACACAGACTTTCAACTCCCTCCAAAGATTTTCTATGGGGTTGAGATTTGGAGACTGGCTAGGCCACTCCAGGACCTTGAAATGCTTCTTACGAAGCCACTCCTTCGTTGCCCGGGCGGTGTGTTTGGGATCATGGTCATGCTGAAAGACCCAGACACGTTTCATCTTCAATGCCCTTGCTGATGGAAGGAGGTTTTCACTCAAAATCTCACGATACATGGCCCCATTCATTCTTTCCTTTACACGGATCAGTCGTCCTGGTCCCTTTGCAGAAAAACAGCCCCAAACCATTATGTTTCCACCCCCATGCTTCACAGTAGGTATGGTGTTCTTTGGATGCAACTCAGCATTCTTTGTCCTCCAAACACGACGAGTTGAGTTTTTACCAAAAAGTTCTATTTTGGTTTCATCTGACCATATGACATTCTCCCAATCCTCTTCTGGATCATCCAAATGCACTCTAGCAAACTTCAGACGGGCCTGGACATGTACTGGCTTAAGCAGGGGGACACATCTGGCACTGCAGGATTTGAGTCCCTGGCGGCGTAGTGTGTTACTGATGGTAGGCTTTGTTACTTTGGTCCCAGCTCTCTGCAGGTCATTCACTAGGTCCCCCCGTGTGGTTCTGGGATTTTTGCTCACCGTTCTTGTGATCATTTTGACCCCATGGGGTGAGATCTTGCGTGGAGCCCCAGATCGAGGGAGATTATCAATGGTCTTGTATGTCTTCCATTTCCTAATAATTGCTCCCACAGTTGATTTCTTCAAACCAAGCTGCTTACCTATTGCAGATTCAGTCTTCCAAGCCTGGTGCAGGTCTACAATTTTGTTTCTGGTGTCCTTTGACAGCTCTTTGGTCTTGGCCATAGTGGAGTTTGGATTGTGACTGTTTGAGGTTGTGGACAGGTGTCTTTTATACTGATAACAAGTTCAAACAGGCGCCATTAATACAGGTAACGAGTGGAGGACAGAGGAGCCTCTTAAAGAAGAAGTTACAGGTTTGTGAGAGCCAGAAATCTTGCTTGTTTGTAGGTGACCAAATACTTATTTTCCACGATAATTTGCAAATAAATTCATTAAAAATCCTACAATGTGATTTTCTGGAGAAAAGAAATCTCAATTTGTCTGTCATAGTTGACGTGTACCTATGATGAAAATTACAGGCCTCTCTCATCTTTTTAAGTGGGAGAACTTGCACAATTGGTGGCTGACTAAATACTTTTTTCCCCCACTGTATGTGGGAACTCCTTCAAGACTGTTGGAAAAGCATTCCAGGTGAAGCTGGTTGAGAGAATGCCAAGAGTGTGCAAAGCTGTCATCAAGGCAAAGGGTGACTATTTGAAGAATCTCAAATATAAAATGTGTTTGCTACATTATTCCATATGTGTTATTTCATAGTTTTGATGTCTTCACTATTATTCTACAATGTAAAAAATAGTAACAATAAAGAAAAAGCTTTGAATGTGTCCATACCTTTGACTGGTAGTGTATAAAGAAAGATAAGAGATCAAATCTTTAACTCCAGAGTATTTAGAATTAATCAGATGTCTAATTTGTTTTTTCCTCCAAAAAGTGAATGTATTGTGAAATGCCCATATGACAAAACGGTAGTGATTCTAGTGCTCTACCCGACCATACAGTTTAGTATTTGTCCCATGACTAACCTTTGCCTTCTCGATGGCTCCTTGGGGTAGATACAGCCGGGGGAATACGAAAGCCCCTCCCATCATTGGCTGACAGCTGATCCCTGAAATATTGTTCAGAACCTCCGGGACCCAGTTCATGTTATGGACCAGCATGGCCTGGATAGACTGGGTCTCCTGGTGGAGATGGGAGAGAAGACAGGGAGAGGAAGGACAGGGGGGAGAGCGTATTGTATGGGACACTGAGATGCTGTTGTGAATACAGAAATAAATGAAGTTGTTTGATTTTGATGAACTATTTCTTATTTTAGAGACATCAATGCTTGCAGAGCACTATCATTAAACTACTTATGACTAACTGTTACATGGCATATGCTATCTACTAAGCCTAACGTCATACTGTAGTTTGTGACCTATTTTGATGCGTCTCACCTGGGCGTAGACCGGGTATGAGGGGTCCCCTGGCCTGGGAGGGTTAGCCATGAGCTCCAGGGCTAGCTGACCAGTCACTGCCGCGCAGCTGTCAGTGGAGAAGATGGTGTAGGCGTACCTCATGACGGTGGGGTCAAGGTTCACCAGTTCCACATACCCACCTCGTAGCCCACACCTGGGCAGGGAGAAGAGACATACAGGGTAGTGGTCAAACACTGGCCTGCTGGGTTCAGAACAGGTTTGTACACCACAGGAAGCCTGAAGTGGATCTCTTAGGGAACTGCCAGCTATTTTATGTACTTTTGTCACTATTGAGTTTGTGTTGGCAGCTCATGCTGAAAGTATTTGACCATTCAAAGGAAGTAGTAGGCTAGTAGCTAATGACTTAATTAAGTAGTTAAGTAGCTAATGGGGTAATAAGAACCAGATCATTGTAGAGTACATTAGGTTACAGGATGTGTGAATCTGTTAATCAATTGCCATAGACAGACAGTTCTGCTGTACTCACTCTCCCATGAAGCCTTTGGATGCTGAGTGGAAAGAGGCCAGCTCCACTGTATTAGAGAGGGGAGGCCCCATCTCAGACAGAACCTTCTTATAAGAGACAAACTCACTGCCCTCCCCGAACACACTGTCCTGATACACCTGTGGATCAAATTAAACAGAGAATGGTGAATGGAAGACAGAGAAAAACAATAGTCAATTTGGAGAGAAGTGAAAAGTCTGTGACTAAAAATAAGTGATTTGCCAGGAGAAAATACAGACAGGAAGTCACCTCATCAGCCATGAGGAAGAGCCTCTCCTCAGCAGCGAATCGGATTACCTCTTCAATAGACTTCCTGCTCTGAACATGACCTAGCAACAACAAAACAAAACAAATTACATCCTCCATTATGGCTGCTGTGGTATCTTTGCCCGCAAATAGGTTTAATTTACATTCTTCATTGGGACAAATAGTGGGGTAATACTGTATCGACCATCATGGAACCAGACAAACTTGTTACCTGTAGGATTTCCTGGGTTGATGACGTACAAGGCAACAGGGTTGCAGACACCCTTAGAGACCTGTAGCGCTCTGCGTAGCTCCTCCACCTGCAGTGCCCAGCCATGCTCCTCATCTGGGTAGTAGGGAACAACGGCTGCACCGAGCCCCTGCAACGCCATTTTGAAAGAAGAGTATGTGGGCACAGGAGTCAACACACCTGTAGGGAGTGAGGCCTGATTGTGGACCAACAGCTTCAGCACCAGCTAAAGAAAAAAATCATAAAATAGAGAGGGAAAGATGAATGAGACAGACATGATGATGATGATGATGATGATTATTATTATTATTATTAAAATGATGGTTAGTATGGTGACGGGTATGGTGATGATGAAGATGATTCTCACCATTATTGACCTCTGGGAGCCAGAGGTCATGAAGATATTCTCGGGGGACGATGGTACACCACCATCTCGTCGAGAGATGAAGTTGGACACGCTGCACTGTATATAAGAGATACCACCAGAGGGCGTGTATGAGCCTGATAAGGCAGATAAAGAAAAAAGAGATTTCAAATACCTTTATAAACACAAGTAAACACACATCACATGTACACTGAACAAAAATATAAACGCAACATGTAAAGTGTTGGTCCCATGTGTCATGAGCTGAAATAAAAGATCCCAGAAAATGTCCATATGCACAAATAGCTTATTTCTCTCAAATTCTGTGCACAAATTTGTTTATATCCCTGTTAGTGAGCATTTCTCCTTTGCCAAGATAATCCATCCAACTGACAGGTGTGGCATATCAAGAAGCTGATTAAACAGCATTATTCATTACACAGGTGCACCTTGTGCTGGGGACAATAAAAGGCCACTAAAATGTTCAGTTTTGTCACACAACACAATGCCGCAGATGTCTCAATCTTTGAAGCAGCGTGCAATTGGCATGCTGACTGCAGGAATGTCCACCAGAGCTGTTGCCAGATGGAGGAGTGGGACAATATTCCACAGGCCACAATCAATAGCCTGATCAACTCTATGCGAAGGAGATGTGTCACACTGCATGAGGCAAATAGTGGTCACACCAGATACTGACTGGTTTTCTGATCCACGCCCCTACTTTTCTTTTTTTTAAGGTTCTGTGACCAACAGATGCATATCTGTATTCCCAGTCATGTGAAATCCATAGATTTGATTATTTCAATTAACTGATTTCCTTATCAACTGTAACTTCGTTAAATCTTAGAAATTGTTACATGTTGTGTTTTATATTTTCGTTTATATTTTTGTACATTGACAGTCATGATCAGCCACCTTACTACATTCAAAAAATTTAACACTTTCAAAGTGTAGACATACTGTACTCTAGTTCCATAGGCCCAATTGCAGTCCTCCTTACCTACACTCCCCCCATCACATGCGCTCAGCAGGCTTTGGGCCCTCTGTCTAACATCAAGTGGCAGTTTATCACTTTGGACCAGCTGAGGGTAGAGGCAGGCTGCAAGAACCTGATACACACACACACACACACACACACACACACACACACGTGCACACATGCATAAACACACACACACACACACACACACAAAGGTTTAAAGAGAAACAGCTAACAAATAGACCATAGATATACAGGCAGGATTAGCAGTGGAAACTCTGATAGAAACAAAGGTTAGAATGATGTTACCTGTCGGACGAAGGTTAAGGGTTTGACCCCTCCTCTGTGTGGGTCTCCCCAGCAGATGTCTATCACATCCTTATAAGGCTTCCTTACTTCCTATCAGAAACAGATGACATACTGTAGTGTAAGTCAATGGATATTCATTAGTTGTATACTATTGTGTTTCACATGAAAATGCACTGCATTGCATGCACAAGTCAACATGTATCTAGCCCTTCGATGTCTGAAATAATATAACATGATGCATGTGACTTCAGTATGAAGGTTGTTAACATCAGATCAGCTCTGTGGCTGAACTATTAGATCTTACCTGTGTGAGTTCTGTTCTGATCTGGGTTGCTCGTCTCACCAACGGCTCCAGCTCTGTCTGTTTGATGCTCCTCACCTTGGGGCAGATCTCTCTCAGGCATAAGACAGACATTCCTCTTCCCACACCTTCTGGTCCTCTCAGACAGATCTGATGAGATGTTGATCTTTTGACTTGTCCACTTCTATGGCTCCCTGCTGTTCTTTTCCCCTGCTGTTGCTGAGGAAGTGAGTGGGAGTGAAGCTCCGTCCCAAGGCAATCTATATTACTTGATACTGGTGCCTAGTACCAGTGTTTGTAGACCAGGTCAGTATTTTTTGTAAAAGTGGTGCTCCTTCAATCGACCTTCAGCTGGAATATATGTCACCAATCTGGTTTCAGACCTCCTGTACAGTACTTTTTAAGAAAACTTTTTGGGACGTGCATTGAATCAATGTGTGTTAATGTGTTATTCCAATTGGTGTTTATTAACACGCCCCAAAAAAAACTCTGTTAACGTGTGCCTCAACTCAAGATCTAAATAGTGCCCTTGAGACTGAGACAAGAGACCAAACAAAACAGCTCCCAGTGATATTATGTGGGTGGTTATTCATTCTCACTCACTCTCATTTCACCATTGTTCATTTTCCTTGCCACCTTTCAACCTGTCATCACAAACATCAACCATCCTTATTCCCACCATCTCCTTCCCACACATTTTAATAGTGAAATAATGATATATCGTTTATCAAATATGTTTTTTAAATCCATGGGAATGATTGCAAGAAAGCAATATTACAGTAGTGAACGCAGACCAACACATGACAATTTCAGTTCTGTGAATAAGTCACATATTATAAAGTCAGTTACAGCAGGAATTTTGAGACAGACATCGTGTCCTAAAGGCACAGTCTGGTGGAAAAGTCCAGGTTTATGTAGTTTGATCTAATTTGTGTTTATTTCCTTGCTGGATCTGTAGTGAAGGCATTACTGTATTTGCCTCATTTCAAGTATAATTGTTTGTTTTTCCCCTCGTGATCAATAATAGACTCATTGACAATGATATATTATTGTTAATATACTAATAGAACATTAATTCACGTTGCATTAATTAACACGTTGCTCAAAGGCTATTTGTTAATCTCGCTATCGGACCATAACTTAATATTTATGAACAACGCCGGTTTCTATCGGAGGTAAATAAAGGACGACCCACGCAACTTCCTGTTTTGATTTTGTTGTTGTTGGTAATTTCGTTTTTAGCTAGGAGATAAACAGATAGCTAGCTGTAATGAAACGCCATATCTTTACTAACAGGTAGGCTGTTAAAATCAAGACTCACAACTATCGACATAGCATTGTGCTTTAGGGGTTAATATACACCTGTCGTTCCCAACTCTTGTTGTTGGGAGATGGCACTAAGCGCGGGCGGTTGGGCTCAAACGCCTGTGCCAGCCCCATTCCAGTCTGTACATGGTGGGCCCGCACTGGCTAGCTGCAACACCGTCTTGATGTCGGTACGAGTGTCGGTTTGCCATTCTGGAATTCGACCGCTTTGCCTCCCCGGAGCTGGCGATGAGGCTCTCCGTCTTCAGCTTAGCATGGACCCCAGCAAGGCTGGAGAGTTTCGGCTAGCACTGAGGGACAGTAGCGGAAGCGGCCGTAGTGTGGTAAGTGACACTGCACTGTAACGTCTAGCTACCTAGTTAGGTATCTTGACACATGTCATGCATGCGTTGACATAATAAATTGCAAACACAACATTGGTCTGTTGGTTTGAGCAATGTCCGTTTACAGAAAATACTTTTTGTCATAGCTACTGAATTGGAATCTTGTTTAATCAAATGATACAGTAATTCCATTGCTGGGAAACGATGTCGTGTGATGTTTACAAATATCTGTCCTTGTGTTTATCTAAACAAGGGAAGAATCATTCTAAATAGGAGACCAAATGTTCTTTATGGCACATTATTCCAGCTAAACATCAAAGTGAGCACATTGGCACAGGGGTTCCAGTTTGTCCCTCAATAAGTAGGTCAAGTAAGTCCATATCTATCAAGTCCACAAAGATAAGAGATCTAAGTGAGATATTTCTCTCTCTCTCTCTATATATATATTTATTAATTTTTTCTTCTCTCAGTTCATTGCAGAGTTTGACTTGCGCTCTGTGCAGTATGAGGTGAAGTCTCCACACCTTCACGAGATTCGTCTGGCAACGCCCCCTCATGACTGCATCCGCTTCAACTTCCGCTGCGACCTGGAGGCTGAGCAGTGGGCCACCGTGGTGATGTCATCACTAAGAGAGGCACACAGAGGTCAGAGGGCATGGCAGTCTTTCTCTCTGTTCTAGTTTCCTTGTTTAGCTGCATTCCTGTCTTGTGTCTTAGAAGAGTGTCCTCCTAGAACCCAAAACTATGGCTAATACAATAGAATGCTCTCTCACAATTGACCATTCTTTCTCTCTCACTGTAGTTGCTGCAAATAGTTCCCCACATCCTCTGGATGACCGACTACAGCATACAGCAGCAGTAGCTCTAGAACAGCGCCGGACAGCCTCCTTACCACTCACTGGTGAGCGCACAAATGCTTCCTCCACTCTCTTTCTACCATACTTGCATGGCAACATACAGTACATTATACATTTTTCTATAATATTAGTAATTTAACCTGTTTTCTCTCTGAAGAGGAGCTGTGCCTGGAGCTTGCCCGGGCGATCGAAGCAGGCGAGAGCCAGGCTGCTGCTCAGCATGCGTCTGCTCTGGCTCACCAGAAGGCGGCACTCACTATCCAACTGTCTGAAAAGAGTTACGCAGAAGGAGAGATACGGTGAGAAGAAGTAACAGGCAGTAGATTTAGGTTTAGGGGGGAATTAAGTTAAGTTGTCCAACAGAACAAGGAGCATTTGTGTTAACGGTGCCATTTCTGTATTGCAGTTTGTCTGTGGCAGTGGAGGACATTTCCTCTTCATGTTGCGTCACAGTGAAAGTCTTCCCACACATGACCGTCGCAGCACTCAAGCAGCAGGTCAGATCAAAACTTCTGTGGTCTTCTGTTTGCTTGAGTACTTGGGCTACATAGGCAAATGTAAATGTTCACAAATCTCTCTCCTCTAATGTCTGTGCGTTTCTCTCTCTATCAGGTGTTTCTGGAGTATGGCTTCCACCCTTGCGTGCAGCGCTGGGTGATAGGGCAGTGTTTGTGCACAGAGCCCAGGTCCCTGGCCTCGTATGGGGTCCAGAGGGATGGGGACATGGCCTACCTCTACCTGGTCTCAGCCCGCCATGCCCGCCTCACCCGCCAACTGTTCCAGCAGGACCAGGAGGGCGCCCTACTCACCCCACCTCCACCTACCAGCAACAGGCCTGCGTCCCAGGACTGGAGGGGCTACAGCACCCTGCCTTCCAGGCTCAGCCACCACTCCCAGGGTAAGTTTACCTATTGGCATGCACTTACACGCACACACAAACATAGACCGACAGACGCACGCACACAGCAGTGCACATACTAATAGCCGCGGGAAGTCAATTGAAATAATTTTGCCAAAATTAGGCTATACAAAATTGTTTTGCCCCAACATTATATTACTCTTGTCTGAACAAAATAATTCAAAATACTATACCAGAGAGCATAATTTAGCTACAGAAGATAAATCGGTTTTAAAAAAATAGCAGTGAATTAAGTTATCACACGCACCAAATATAGGCTACAGCTTGTTGCGTTGTGGCCATAGATATAATCCATAGAAGGATTTAGGAACCTCTAACCCTGGCACATTGACTGTTAAACTCATGGGTACACTAGCAATAGCTGCCAGTCCTGATTTTTAAATGGGACCTGCCATCTATGGATTATATTTATATGGTTGGCTGACAGTTTGCCTTTCCAATGCTTTCCACAGTTGTGTCAAGTTGGCTGGGTGGTGGACCATTCTTGATACACACAGGAAACTGTTCAGCATGAAAAACCCAGCGTTGCAGTTCTTGACACAAACCGGTGTGCCTGGCACCTACTACCATACCCTGGTCAAAGGCACTTAAATATTTTGTCTTGGCCATCCACCCTCCGAATGGCACACATACACAACCTGTCTCAAGGCTTAAAAATCCTCCCCATCATCTACACTGATTGAAGTGGATTTAACAATTGACATCAATAAGGGGTCATAGCTTTCACCTGGATTCATGTCGTCAGTCATGGAAAGAGTGGGTGTTCTTAATGTTTTGTACACTCAGTGTATGTACTATATATATCACGGTTTCCGTTAGGTAATATTAACATTTCAGACATTGGAGAAATGTACCAGTCATCCATATGCATTGGGTGAGTAACCTATTAAGGCGTCCACCCACGCAGCCAGTGTACATCAATAAATGAGGGATATTGGCCAAATGAGCCACATTTACATGTCCTTAAAAACAGCCTATAACAAATTACAAAAACACTAATCCTTGTGTTTCGATGTGTAGCATATGCAAAACTTTATAGCCTATTTTTGTATTGGTTTTTACTTTCCTAAAACAATAATTGTCTACTTTATGTTTCAGCTGTCAGAGATTTGAGCACTAAATGCATTAGGGCATTTTATGCATAGACTACTGGATTATACTAATATAAAAAAAATACAATACATGACCAAAAGTATGTGGACACCTGCTCGTCGAACATCTCATTCCAAAATCATGGGCATTAATATGGAGCTATAACAGCCTCCACTCTTCTTGTAAGGCTTTCCACTAGATGTTGGAACATTGCTGCGGGGACTTTCTTCCATTCAGCCACAAGCATTAGTGAGGTCGGGAATGGGTCACCAGTCATGGGTGAACAGGGAGTACAGGAGTCCTGGACTTCCTGACGGGCCGCCCCCAGGTGGTGAAGGAAGGAAACAACACCTCCACTTCACTGATCCTCAACACAAAGGCCCCACAAGGGTGCGTGCTCAGCCCCCTCTTGTAATTCCTGTTCACCCATGACTGCGTGGCCACGCACGCCTCCAACTCAATCATCAAGTTTGCAGATGACAACAGTAGTAGGCCTGATTACCAACAATGACGAGACAGCCTACAGGGAGAAGGTGAGGGCCATGGCGGAGTGGTGCCAGGAAAATAACCTCTCCCTCAACAAAACAAAGGAGCTGATCGCGGACTTAAGGAAACAGCAGAGAGCGTGGAGAAGGTGAAAAGCTTCAAATTCACATCACTGACAATCTCTAATGGTCCACCCACACAGTCAGTGTGGTGAAGAAGGCGCAACAGCGCCTCTTCAAACTCAGGAGGCTGAAGAAATTTGGCTTGGCCCCTAAGACCGTCACAAACTTTTACATATGCATAATTGAGAGCATCATGTCGGGCTGTACCACCGCCTGGTACGGCAACTGCACCACCCGCAACTGCAGGGCTCTCCAGGGGGTGGTGTGGTCTGCCCAACGCATCACCGGGGGCACACTGCCTGCCCTCCAGGACACCTACAGCACCCGATGTCACAGGAAGGCCAAAAAGATAATCAAGGACATCAACCACCCGAGCCACGGCCTGTTCACCCCGCTACCATCCAGAAGGCGAGGTCAGTACAGGTGCATCAAAGCTGGGACCGAGAGACTGAAAAACAGCTTCTATCTCAAGGCCATCAGACTGTTAAATAGCCATCACTAGCCGGCTACCACCTGGTTACTCAACCCTGCACCTTAGAGGCTGCTGCCCTATATACATAGACATGGAATCACTGGTCACTTTAATAATGGATCACTAGTCACTTTAATAATATTTACATACTGCTTTACTCATTTAATATGTATATACTGTATTCTATTCTACTGTATTTTAGTCAATTCCACTCCGACATTGCTCGTCCTAATATTTATATATTTCTTAATTATTTTACTTATAGATGGGTGTATTGTTGTGAATTGTTAGATACTACTGCACTATTGGAGCTAGGAACACAAGCATTCCGCTACACCCGCTAAAGATGTGTACGTGACCAATACAATTTTATTTAATGTTGGGCGATTAGGCCTGGCTCACAGTTGGCGTTCCAATTCATCCCAAAGGTGTTCGATGAGGTTGAGGTCAGTGCTCTGTGCAGGCCAGTGAAGTTCTTCCACACCGATCTTGACAAACCATTTCTGTGTGGACCTCGCTTTGTGCACGGGGGCATTGTCATGCTAAACAGGAAAGGGCCTTCCTCAAACTGTTGTCCAAAAGTTGGAAGCACAGAATCGTCTAGAGTAGTGTTAAGATTTCCCTTCACTGGAACTAAGGGGCCTAGCCCGAACGATGAAAAACAGCCCCAAACCATTTTTAGGTGGCATTTTATGACGGTACCACGTTGAAAGTCACTCTACTAGCCATTCTACTGCTAATAATCATCTATGGAGATTGCATGGCTGTGTGCTCAATTTTCTACACCTGTCAGCAACGGGTGTGGCTGAAATAGCCAAATCCACTAATTTGAAGGGGTGTCCACATACTTTTGTGTATATATAGTGTATAATAGGCTAATAGCCACACTACACCTTCAAACATTTCTAAACTTTATTAGGGTAATATCAAAAGCAAGGGAAAATACGAGCAGGATATTATATTGTGGCACACACATTACTGTTGGAGCTTAATTTGGCTAAAGAAATGGCTCAACAGAATGAAACAAAACACTTGTGAACTGGTTTAAACCTTCACAAACAAGTTTTGAACAGGCTAGTGCCCACCTTACCCAACAAATGACAGCAATAGGCTAATTATATTTATTTAACAAAAGGCCTACTTATATCTTAAACTAAATACAGAGCACACAATTAAAAAGATCTAACTCAATTTAGCCAACGAAAATGTCTCAACAGAATGAAACAAAACACGTTTTGCATATTTAACCCTCGAGTCCATTTCCGTGGCCCCGCAGAAATCTAATTGGCATAATGTAAAAATCCCCATTAAAATCTGTCTGTTTAAGCTAGAGATATGTGTTTTGCATGGGTCTAAATCCACTGCATCCACCGATATCGACCTTCCACATCTGCGGTGAAAGGTGGCAGAGCTACAGCAGTGTTTGTTAGACCATGAGACATCCCGAAAATCAGTCTTCTCACGAAGAAACATCTCTAGCGTTTGAACGGTTTGGCCTAGAAACTATGAGAGTTGAGACTCACGAACACGTCGGTGGTTTTGCTCTACTACCCCCACAAGTGTCACGGGACTCGTCTGAAGTCGGTACCGCCGATCTGCCAGTAGCGTCCGAACGGTTTGGGCTACACACTAATATGACCCCTCTATGGAAAAGTGAGTCTCTCATGAACACATACGTCGGTTGTTTTGCTCTAGTATGCCCACAAGCCTCACCTGAAGGTAGCCTGGTGCCAGTTTAAAAAATGAATGGAAGTATACAGTGCATTCGGAAAGTATTCAAACCTTGACTTTTTCCACATTTTGTTACAAAATGGATTTTAAAAAAAGAACATCTCATTAATCTACACCACAATACCCGATAATGACAAAGCGAAAACTGGTTTTTAGAAATGTTAGCAGATTTATTAAAAATAAAAAACAAATACCTTATGTAAATAAGTATTCAAACCCTTTGCTATGAGACTCGAAATTCAATTGATTGGACATGATTTGGAAAGGCACACATCTGTCTCTATAAGGTCCCACAGTGCATGTCGGAGCAAAAACCAAGCCGTGAGGTCGAAGGAATTGTCCGTAGAGCTCCGAGACAGGATTGTGTCGAGGCACAGATCTGGGGACGGGTAACCAAAACATTTCTGCAGCATGAAGGTCCCCAAGAACACAGTGGCCTCCGTCATTCTTAAATGGAAGAAGTTTGGAACCACCAAGACTCTTCCTTGAGCTGGCCGCCCGACCAAACTGAACAATCGGGGGAGAAGGGCCTTGGTCAGGGAGATGACCAAGAATCCGATGGTCTCTCTGACAGAGCTCCAGAGTTTGTCTTTGGAGATGGTTGTCCTTCTGGAAGGTTCTCCCATCTCTTTAGCATTCCATCAATCAGGCCTTTATGGTAGTGGCCAGACCGAAGCCACTCCTCAGTAAAAGGTACATGACAGCCCGCTTGGAGTTTGCCAAAAGGCACCTAAAGACTCTCAGACCATGAGAAACAAGATTCTCTGGTCTGATGAAACAAAGATTAAACTCTTTGGCCTGAATGCCAAGCGTCACGTCTGGAGGAAACCTGGCACTACCCCTACGGTGAAGCATGGTGGTGGCAGAATCATGCTGTGGGGATGTTTGTCAGCGGCAGGGACTGGGAGACTAGTCAGGATCGAGGGAAAGATGAACGGAGCAAAGTATAGAGAGATCCTTGATGAAAACATGCTCTACAGACTGGGGTGAAGGTTCACCTTCCAACAGGACAACGACGCTAAGCAAACAGCCAAGACATCGCAGGAGTGCCTTTGGGACAAGTCTCTGAATGTCCTTGAGTGGCCCAGCCAGAGCCCGGTCTTGAACCCGATCGAACATCTCTGGAGAGACCAGAAAATAGCTGTGCAGCGACGCTTCCCATCCAAGCTGACAGAGCTTGAGTGGATCTGCAGAGAAGAATGGGAGAAACTCCACAAATACAGGTGTGCCAAGCTTGTAGCGTCATACCCAAGAAGACTCGAGGCTGTAATCGCTGTCAAAGGTGCTTCAACAAAGTACTGAGTAAAGGGTCTGAACACTTATGTAAATGTAATATTTACGTTTATTTTAAGACCTGTTTTTGCTTTGTCATTATGGGTTATTGTGTGTAGATTGATGAGGAAAAAAACCTATTTAATCCATTTTATAATAAGGCTGTAATGTAACAAAATGTGGAAAAAGTCAAGGGGTCTGAATACTTTCCGAATGCACTGTATATGGAAGTACAACAAACAAAAATATAAACACAACATGTAAAGTGTTGGTCCCATGTTTCATGAGCTGAAATAAAAGAACACAGATTTTCCATATGTACAAAGCTTATTTCTCTCAAATGTTGTGCACAAATTTGTTTACATCCCTGTTAGTGAGCATTTCTCCTGTGCCAAGATAATTCATCCACCTGACAGGTGTGGGATATCAAGAAGCTGATTAAACAGCATGATCATTACACAGGTGCACCTTGTGCTGGGGACAATAAAAGCCACTCTAAAATGTGCAGTTTTATCACACAACACAATTCCACAATGTCTCAAGTTTTGAGGGAGTGTGCAATTGGCATCCTGGCTGCAGGAATGTCCACCAGAGCTGTTGCCAGAGAATTGAATGTTCATTTCTCTACCATAAGCCGCCTCCAACGTTGTTTTAGAGAATTTGGCAGTACATCCAACTGGCCTCACAACCGTACGTCACGTGTAACCACGCCAGCCCAGGACCTCCACATTCGGGTTCTTCACCTGCGGGATGGTCTGAGACCAGCTACCTGGACAGCTGATGAAACTGTGGGTTTGCACGACTGAAGAACTTCTGCACAAACTGTCAGAAACCGTCTCAGGGAAGCTCATCTGTGTGCTCGTCGTCTTCACCAAGGTCTTGACCTGACTGCAGTTCGGCGTCGTAACCGACTTCAGTGGGCAAATGCTCACCTTCGATGGCCATTGGCACGCTGGAGAAGTGTGCTCTTCACAGATTAATCCTGGGTTTCAACTGTACCGGGCAGTGGGCAGACAGCTTGTATGGCGTTTTGTGGGCGAACAGAGTGCCCCATGGTGGTGGTGTGGTTATGGTATGGGCAGGCATAAGCTACAGACAACAAACATAATTGCATTTTATCGATGGCAATTTGAATGCACAGAGATGCCGTGTCGAGATCCTGAGGCCCATTGTCATGCCATTCATCCGCCGCCATCACCTCATGTTTCAGTATGATAATGCATAGCCCCATGTCGCAAGAATCTGTACACAATTCCTGGAAGCTGAAAATGTCCCAGTTCTTCCATGGCCTGCATACTCACCAAACATGTCACCCATTGAGCATGTTTGGGATTCTCCGGATCAACGTGTACAACAGCGTGTTCCAGTTCCCGCCAACATCCTGCAACTTTGCACAGCCATTGAATAGTAGTGGGATAACATTCCACAGGCCACAATCAACAGCCTGTTCAACTCTATGCGAAGGCGATGTCGCGCTGCATGAGGCAAATGGTGGTCACACCAGATCCTGACTGGTTTTCTGATCCACACCCCTACCTTTTTTTAAAGGTATCTGTGACCAACAGATGCATATCTGTATTCCCAGTCATGTGAAATCCATAGATTAGGGCCTAATTAATTCATTTCAATTGACTGGTTCCCTTATATGAACTGTAACTAAGTAAAATCTTTGAGATTGTTGCATTTATACGTTTGTTCAGTGTAGTTTAGTGCCAAAAAAAAAAGGGGTTAAATACTTGTCCAATAAAAATAATAGTTTCCTGATCTTATATCTCTGATATAGGACAGACACTTCAAAACAAACTTCCTTTAGATTTTCTTTGGAACTGTTTTTCCATGTATGAATCTGTTATTCAATGCATTTCTATGGGCAAATAGCAGTAAGGCCAAATTCAATGTTTCATCAAATAATTAAAAAATATTTTATATACCTAAAGGGGTCCTAAAATTCTAAATAAAATATCTAAATGATCCTTGGTATGACCAACAATTCCATATGTTAGCTTAGTAGAACCGTCCCCCAGGTTTAGACTCTAGAGCAGGGCTGAAGGCTGGTTTCTTTTTTGGTTTTCGCTCCAATCCTAATCTAGTGCACATGATTATAATAATTAGCTGTCCGATAAACTGAATCAGGTTAGTTACAACTGGGGTTGAAAAGAAAAACCTACAGGAGGGTTGCTCTCCGAGAACAGGGTTGGAGAGCCCTGCCATAGAGGGTTAAAGAACTGGTTTAGATTTGATATGAAAGTATAAATAAAGTTCCAAAATTGCATCCTACCTGAATAGCGAGTTGCACAGTAGGCTGCATTTGGCTATTTGTGTGGTATTAAAAAATGTTCTGCTAATGTCTATCATGTAAAGGACGTAGAATTGCATGAAATGCATTTATAAAAGGCCAATAGTTTTTCAGACGCTGCATGTGTGGAAATCCTAAAAACGTGTCTGCTCAACTGTATGTCACCATGCAACTATAGATGCATGTGATGCTTTATTATAAAGGGGGTTGACCAAACTCATTTTCCATTGTTGTGATTGGCTGTAGGGAGCACCGGAGGTGCGGCTGACAGGCTGGGTATGAGCGAGATCCAAGAGGCCCTCAACCTGGAGACTCTGCAGATCAACAATAAACCAGATCAACCCTGCAAAGCCAGTAAAACACAGGTACAAACCCAATGTTTTCATATTTATGTGATCGGCTCTTGGCTTCGAGCACCCTTTCATTGTTTTACGCAAGATGATAGTTGAGGACATACTTTCCCTGATAGAAACCTTATGTTCCATATAGCTAGTATACTGAACATCACTTCAAGTAATACACTAACAGAAAGACTCACTCATCCTCTCGCTCTCTCTATCCGTCTGATATGCAGACAGAATGGGCGTGTCCCTCCTGCACCTTTATCAACAAGCCTTCCCGACCAGGCTGTGAGATCTGCAGTACAGCCAGACCTGACTCGGGGGAGCACAGCCTCATACAACAGGTACTGTATCTATGGCATAGAGTAGACAGAACACATCACCTACATTCTAAACTACAGTATTGTCTTTATTCCGTCTGTGTTAAAGGAGAAAGGAAGAAGAGTGGAGCAGGGGGAGATTGGTGCATTGATCAGTTGACTGCCTCGCAACCTATACCATAGCCTGGACGACTGATCACACACACTTATACAACTGACACACCAATTTACTGCTTCTTAGGTGAAAACCCACTACTGACATACTATGACAAACCTCACAGCCTGACGGACACTAGAGGTATATGGACGCTGTATTGACGCTGCAGCACATATGGAACTCCACTTGCAGTGGCTCACAAAAGGAACTACCTGTATAGTCATTGAGAGCTGGCTTTTGACTCTCCTCTGTGGACATGATGGCAGTCGGAAACCTCTGCCTTGTGGGGGGGAGGAGTGGAATAGTTCTATATTTATTCCATAGGGGTGGGTGGTGCTTCCCTCATCCCTGATATCTCAGATCAGAGAATATGGTATATTTTTAAGTTGGCTAACTGGGAAAGTTGATACTTTGAGTACTGAAAGTGCAGTTTAAAATCATGGCCCGTATTCACAATCTCTCAGAGTAGGTGTGCTGGTCTAGGATCAGATGTCTTTAAGATCACAATTATATAGATGGGGGACCTGATCCTAGATCAGTACTCCTACTCTGAGATACATTGTGAATACAGGCCCAGGTCTTGCTGGTCATTGGTTGGTGACATTTGGTTTGATGGTAGAAGGGGTATTGGTTGCTATGAGGCAAGTCTTTCGGAGTGACAGGGTTTTAAAGTGATTTTATTTGTATAACATTGTATTTAGTGTTTAACAATGTTTGGCGATATTAATGTTGATGCGTTTCACCTACTTGTCATACGTTTCTCTGTCTAAACTGTGATAGTGACGGAATGTTATGTCTGTATAAAATGGTGTTGGCTGAATAAACATACGTTGATCAAGTTTGAGTTACGTTTTTATTTGAGCATTTATAAATGAGTGTCTGTACACATGGTTCAAATAAAGTTAATTGAAACAAACAAGTATAAAAAAACTTTTAAAGCAAAGACAATTCTTAGTTCATACAGTATATTATGGACGTTTTCGGGAGGGCTTCAGTTGCACAAGAGGTTGGCTTAAGGATGCTGCTTCCTTAAACATTTTTGTTCAGTTTCATCCCTTAGAATATCCACTCAGGCCCAATAACATAACCAAAAAGCAAACAGGGCATTATTTATTCCTTCAGGTACCATAAACCAAACCAAACCAATCCCATGCACACAAGCCCTGAACCCAATATTACCTTTTAGTTGTAATTCCGCCACACAAGCCCAACCCAATACACTTAACCACTCCCCCTTCCTATTCCTTCTGGGCAAGTCAGTCTACTCCTTGGGGAAACACCTTCATTCCATAAAGGCAAGACCAGTTTCACATCTCAGGATAGATAGTTCCCATATAAAGGCAGGTCTGGGACCAGTCTTCCCCCAGTTACCTGTTGTTTACTTCCAGAAGAGGATGTTCCAGAGCAGCAACCAACAGGGGTAGATCAGCAGAGCCAGGAGTGGATAGACCAATGAGCCATAGAGGGCGTGGTCCAGGATGCCCTGGGAGATGACGGACAGGAAGAGCATCCAACCGTCTTGCAGGGAGACAGGGGTCTCCTGCAACTCCTGGAAGAGGAAGACGCAGTAGAGCAGAGTGCAGCCGGGGCTCAGGAGCACCATGATGGCTGCAGACAGAGCCCTGGGGAGAGAGGGTAAAGATGTTACTACACAACGCTGGTAGGGAGAGATTTAACAGCACCATGATGGCTGCAGACAGAGCCCTGGGGAGAGGGTAAAGACATTACTACAGAACCCTGGAAGGAGAAACATTAATACAGCACTCAGACAGTCGACAAGAGGGGGAGGGAGCCATTACACACACACACACACACACACACACACACACTATCTTCACGCACAGGGACAATAGAACTAACACTGCACTGTGCACTCAGACATTAAACTAGAGAGTGAAACATCACTGAGAACACAACATATTGAGAATTATTACTTCTATAAGAAATCACCCAACACCGGGAGAAAGTTGTGGGTGTGTGAGAGTGATGAGAATATTACTTGGGCGTGTGTGGTGTGATGAAGGCAGCGATGGGCACCAGGGACAGAGCCAGGATGAAGCCCAGGGAGAAGTTGATAAGGGCAGTGCAGCCCAGTAACACGGCCAGGTAGAGGAGAGCCACCAGCTTCAGCACTCTCCAGCCCTGCTCTGTGCCCTCTCCTTGCAGAAGCCTGGGGGAGAAAGAGAGCGAGAGATAAAAGCCCCATTTATACCTGGTGCTAACATGCGCCCTTTGTCCTGATCTTGTCCACATTCTGATTGTGACCAAAATTATAGACAGGTGTAAACGATTAAAAGACACATCGTGATCTGATTGTGATCAGAACTTCCTGGCCACCTCCGTGGGTAGTCAGGCATGCATTGTGTCTGGATATCAATGAAGTGTAAACAGATCTGGATGTTCAAACCATTTAAATCATCATTATACCATCCTCTAAAATCATTGACAGGTATCACAATACAGTAATTGATTTAAAATAAATGTATTCATATTATTTTGAAAGAATTTCGGTCAAATAATTTGCATACAGGGAGGCACTAGATAATCTGCTCACAATGTGGACACAGTGGACGGATAAAATACATTTTAATAATACGCGTAAAACCTTGCAGGGCTCTACGCTGACCTTTTTTACAAGTAGCATGTGAGCACACAAAGAAATGTAGGAGCACAATTAAAAATATTTGAGGTAACAAGTACAGTGAAGTAAGCGTTGCAACAATTATCATCTGGGTGATTTTGTTCTAGGCACAATGGTGCTCCTAAATTAAAATTCAAACCTGGCATATTATATGCATATTTAGTCTGTGAGATAAAATGGCTGATGCAGGTTGTGTTTTTGTATGTCTGTATATGTGAGAGAGATGAGAGGGTGTGTGTGTGTACCTGTGTGTGTTGTGTGGCAGGGCCAGGCCTGCTGTGTAGATAGCTATAGCAGTGAGGACCACAGCTTCCGTTTCAGACACAGGGAAGTGCTGCACAGCCATCTCCTGAGAGAGGATAGGGAGGGTGTACAGAGCCACCCCTGTCATGTGACTGATCACTACTGGAGTCAGGATAGACAGGACCCCTGGGCTGGAGGGCTGATGGAGACAGCGGAGGAAAGAGTCAATTATACTGACATAGACCAATTGGTTTTGTTGACTTCTAGAGATATAAAAAGGTAGATACTATAGTTACACATTACATACATGTACCAGAGGCGCGCGCACACACACACACACACACACACACAGCTTGTTTATTACTCCATGACTGACCTGCTCTCCCCCAGCCAGCCCCTCCTCTGTTCCTGGTGGAGAAGCGCCTAGCTGAACCCACAGGTCTAAGGCCTGTTACTGCCATTAAGGACAATACTGATAGGCACCAGAGCACCAGTACATTAAACCATCATCAACATATACACAGCCTCATGCAGCGCAATCTCATCATGACTTAAAGCTGGAATCCTTAATGGTGAAACTGCCACATCCGTTTGCCCCATGGACATCATCGCACGCGCGCTGAAGAGCAGAATGTACTGCAATTTTTTTTACCACGTTGTGCGACGCTCCTCACCTTCACAAAACAAAAACAATAACAACGGCATTGGGGCGGACAGTGGTACTGTTTCCCCTACTGCGGATTCCATCTTTAATTAAGTTGAACATTCAGCTTAACTACGCATGCATATCATGAACCCCCATCAGGCCTTTTGACTAACCTAATGTATTTTTTATGTAATTGACTAATATAGAGAATAGACCAAAATGAATATCCTTTATGTCCATTTAATTCCAACACAAGCGCATCTCAACCTTCCACCTCTCTTGGCCAGGTCTTCCTTGGGAAAAAGGTATTCTGACCTCAATGGGACTACCTGGTTAAATAACAGTTAAATAAAAATAGAATCCCCTATTGTCCCAGAGGTGCAAGGATACACGCAACAGCAGAATGACAGCCAGCAGGCCGAAGGCGGGCATGTAGTAACCAATGGAGACGAAGCGAGAGAGCGAGGGCATGAGGTAGAAGAAGTAGGACTGGTGCAGACGCTCCAGGAGGTTGTTCAGCTTCCGGTACATCCCCTCCAGGAGCCTGAGGGACACACACAGAGGTTCATTTCCATGGAATTTTCACTGTGAAAATGTCTCCATAGAAATGACAAGAGATGAATTCAAAGGTTTTCTGATCATCTGAATTGAAGCTTGGACATCAGTAGCTGACCTGCCGATGGTGGTGGTGTCTGTCTTGTATTGTCTGAAGCTATTGATGCCCCTGATGGTAGCGGCCTCTATGTGGTATCTGAGGAACAGGCCGTGGTCCCCCCAGGGCCGCCCACTGGCCTGCTTCAACACCATCAACATCATGGTCTGGGCCGCGTGGCTGTAGCCCGATGTGGTGTCCCAGTCGTTCCTCTGGAGCTGGATGGAGAGAGGACAGTCAGCATGACAATCAGGCAATTAAACATGTTATTACATCATGTCATTACTGGCTTCTCCTTACCTGGCATAGAGGAAGTCACAAGACAAAACGTCTATGGTGTGCTATTATTAGGCCTCTCTGAAAGCATTAAACATCTACAGTATGTACTTTCTGCAACTAGGTCAAATACCTTACTTACTCAATAAGTACTGGCATTTGGATTTCTTCCCTACCTTGCCCTGGATGGTACATAAGACCCCTATCTTCTGGCAGAAGGCGTAGAAGAGGTTGGCCAGGTCCAGGTTTGGCAGCTGGCCGTTCAGCCCCTCCAGAACCAGGTCCAGACTGGTGATGACGTCACTGCTCAGCTCCAGAGACAGAGCTGCTTGGATGGAGCCACCTCTTCCCTGCAGTGGAGACCAGTCACCACCTGGGGGATCCAGCGAGAGGCACAGTGGTGCCAGGGTTGATTCTATAGAACAGGGTTTTCCAACCCTGTTCCTGGACAGCTGTAACTAACCTGATTCAGTTTATCAACCAGCTAATTATTAGAATCAGGTGTGCTAGATTAGAAATGTAGGGAAAACCTACAGGACGGTAGCTCTCCAGGAACAGGATTGGAGAGCCCTGGTATAGAGACATTGAGAATACATACAGAGTCCATAATGGTGTCTCTACGACTGGTGCATTACAGGGTTACATCATTTATTTTTACTTTTAAAAAAAACACAAAATATTTTGGGGGTAGATCAGCTTTAATATTGCAGATGGATTGTAACTTCCATCAATGTAATTGTCTGCATCACTTCCAATCCCCCATGTTCTTTTTGCAAATATATAAATATATATATATAAATATATATATATATATATATATAAATATATACACAGTCAATTTTACAATAATTCCATTTTGTTTGTTTTTACTCCTGAACCTCCTCCACCCTCAACCTCTCCAATCATTTTCATGATGTCCATCGGGTTTGCTTCTATATGCCATATCTTTCTAACTGTGCTCTTTCACAAAAGCTCTCAACCTGTAACCTATATACTTATTATGGCCACAGTATGCTTTACATTAGTTATCTTGTTGTTATTAGTTGTTATTAGTACCATCCTTCAGCTCCAGTCAACACCTCCCATCTATCTCTTAACACCATCCATATTGGATTTCTATTTGCCATATATTTTTCAACTGTACTGAGATGTTTCACAAAAGTTCTGAACCCTTTTATTCTCATTGTTTCTACAGATTGTAAATTGAAAATAAACATTTTTGCTAAAAGTATTATTATTATTATTGATCGATTGACTATGACTTTTCAGATCACCCAGTAGTGCTATCTGCAGGGTTAGCTCCAGGTAAATGTTGCATCATTACAGAGATGCAGGTACTGCCAGTGTACTGACCAGTGGTGTTGGTGTGGTGGTATCCCTCCAGCCAGGCCTGCATGCCGATCAGGTCATGTTCATTCACCAGGAAGATAATATCCTTAGCCCAGTGGATCTGACCTGAGAAGAGACCAATCATTGACAGATCAATTCAAGCTTTGGCAATGGTCTGTGTGTAAATGTAAGTAATAGTAGTATGCTTACTCCTGAAGTACTGGGCGAGGCCCAGCAGAAGGCCTACTGCCTGGTTGTTGTTGTTTCCCTCACTACAGGGGGCACTCAGCACCAGGGCTTCAGTACGAGGGGCTCTGGGGGCCCGCAGGATCCCATACACGTTAGTGCCCCGCACCATCTGACCGAGACAAACAGAGAGAAGGATGAGTGAGAGAAAGAGAAGAAATTAAAGCCTGTGTAGAGATACAGAGAAGGAATGTGTCTGTGTGAGAGTGTGTGTGTGCACCAAGATAAAATAGGAGCTTATGTTTAATATGTAGACATCTTTGTCTCTGCCCACACTCACATATCTCTCTTTGTTTTCATCTGGGAAGGGAAGCTTGCGGGTGAAGCTCTGAGTGAACACTTCAAGCCCTCGAGACTGCATGGTCTTCACCAGCCAATCCACCGGCATCCCACTACGGAGAGAAGAGAGGAAGGGAGAAGAAAATAGGTGAAACACAGAAGGAATATTGTGGGAGGGGTTATCATTATTATAGCTGGATTTGTGATAGGTAGGATAAGCACTGAATCCCAAAGTTGGGGTTAGTGATCACTAGGGGTGAGAGTTTTTCCTGGTCACATGAACAAGATAAACTCCTAACACTAGTGATAGGCTATACGACGAAGGCTTATTAGTCTGACTCACCCTACTTTCTTCTTGTGGGCAGCAAACTCCCTGCCGGTGGCCAGAGCCCTCTCGCCTGCTGGGAAGCGTTCCTCCACCATAGTGGAGCCCATGGCGTTCTCTGACATGTAGGTGCGCAGGGTGAACGGCTCGAAGGCCAAGCCCATGAACCATGCCACACCCGCCAGGTAGCACATAACACTGGGGAGACATCTTTATATCAGTTCAAAGCATTTGCATCATACACAGTTAGAGGTAAATGGTACAAAGTGGATTAGGTGCATGAAGAGGATGCCCTGTTACATTCCACTTCCCCAGCAAATTCTTCAATACTCTATCATTGATATTCTGCCAGGAAGGACTCACCATATTGGTGCATTGAGACGGGTGAGAAGGTTGGTCAGGGCTCGCCTTCGGTTTGGGTCAGACAGCAGTCCCATGTTGTTGTTGCCTTGTACCTCTCAGACTGGCTCAGCTGGACCACTGGAAACAAAGCCCCATTCAATAGTATTAATGTAGTTTTTAGTCATCCCCTCGCGCCATTGTAGGCATCTACAGTGTTAGTCTAGCTAGCTACCTGCTAACCTTCAGAATAAAAATAAATAAACAGTGCTAAGAAATATGGTCCATGATTATCGATTAGCAGATGTTAGCTAGCTAGCTAGTTGGCTAACTAAGCAGCAGAGACCCAGCTACGTTGCACGCGCAGATATCCGCAACTCAGTTATTTTAAACTAAACAATGTATTTAGTACCTTTACAAAATGTGTAGTTATCAGAGCCTACCTTTCGGGCACAAGGGAAAGGCCCAATATTTGACAGGTGCAGCTAGCCTGTCCCTTACTACTATAGATTTTCCACCGGTCTTTTTTCCTTGTTTCTTATCGGACTATTGTGCGACGGACCGACTTCCGCTTTAGCCAATAAACGATCAAAACAGAGATTACCGCATTGGCATTTGTGACTGACTCTCCATGTTGGTTTGGAGATGAATTACCTAAATAAATTAACAGAACTAATTCAGTGGTGTATTTATTAGTCGGATCCTGTTGCCAAACGTTTTGCACCGGAATTCGACTAAGGAATACACCCCATATGATGCTACACTCCAATACAGTTTTATTTCTGCTGACTGATTGATTTATCCGATCCCAGATTCTTATGTAGACTTACATTATGGCTCGCTCTGTCCACAAATCCTCTCGGTCCACTTATGGATCACTCAAACACAGACAGAACACATCAATGGGTTTAAATGTAATTGTTTATAAGGCATTTCATACAAAAGCAGAGCATGAGTGTACAATAAAAAAATACAACATTAATCCTCTATCTGCGCCTCCACCTCCCCAGGCCATTCACTATAGGCTGTAGCTCATTTGGTAGAGCATGGCGCTTGCAACGCCAGGGTTGTGGGTTCGATTCACACGGGGGGCCAGTATGAAAAATGTATGCACTCACTAACTAAGTCGCTCTGGCTAAGAGCGTCTGCTAAATGACTAAATAGGCCAATCTACCACAAAGTCCAAGCTACACCACATCACTCTCCGGTCAGTGCAGACACCTCCTGAAGATGCTGTCTCACCACCTCATCCAACACTTTGCTGACACCCTTACAGGCCGTCATGGCCGCCTCCATCAGTGTCTCTAGGTGGTCCTGGTGGAGTCGGGCGTCCATCTGTAGCAGGGCGATGTGCCCACCACGGGGAAGCAATGCCAAGGCCAGTGATGTGCCCCCTCCACTCTCTTCAGCATGGCACAGGTCTGCCAACGGCGTCTCGTCCACAAAGCCTGCAGTGCAGGCGCACACATAGTCACGCATGGGGATACCCGCGTCGATCACTGCCAGAGTGGCAGCGTTCACACACGCACTGTAGTTCCCACCGTCTGACTGCAAGATCTGACAGGGAAGAGAGAGTGTGAAGTGTTTCAATTCAAGTCAGGTTGACTTATCAAGCCCCATGTCTAAGTGTTCAATTTGATGAAGAAACCTCTACACCATTCATTAGTTGGATTCTGTTGCAAAAGTGAGTGTTTCTATTGGACTCATTTAGGTTGGTCCCTTCCCATTTTGTTCAGTTTGCTTCTGTTTGGTTCCTAGAGTCAACGATAAATAGTTTCCGTTGCAAAACATTATGCAACAGAAGAAAAACTCTGAACAACTAATGAATACACCCCTGAGAATATGAAACTAACAGAGTAAAACTTAACATTAGTTCCAAATCCCAAAGACTGGATATACAACCACTTTCATTCACCATTTTATTAATAGTGCAGATTCCACCACAACCAATTTCATAATTCATTCAGATCTGAAATATTGTGGTACCTTGACATAAATGTCTATTTGAGAGCGTGGGTACAGATTAGTCAACACTGCTGCCTCAAAAGTCTGCTTGAGGTGAAGGCTCATCTCTGTGGACTTGCGGTCCCCGTGGGGTCTCCTCTTCCTCTCCGCTGTGCTGAAGGTGGCCATACTATACTGGCAGTTGATGACAGCGCGGTCATGGAGGGTCTTGCTGCGGGACCCTCGCACCTGGAGAACAGAGAAGATTTGATTTGACAATGCACACAGGTGAGTGAGGCCTGCAACCTCACTGGTTCTTCAAGTCCTGATACAACTGTTCCTTCTCAATCGCTGCATTGGTGGCAGCAGTAAGATAGCCCCAAGTTCTCCATAAGTGGAAGAGTGTAGTCTCCCTGTATGTGAGTATACTACCATGTCTGCCAAGAGGTCTGGACCCTAGGCAGAGGTGGAAGTGTGCAGGCTGGCTAGTTTAGCTCTAGACTAGAACAAGGAGGCTGAACACATTTGTAGTTATGTAGCTAGTTAGGAACAATATTATATTTAGGATAAATAAACTGAGCTCAAATGCTAGCCGAGCTAAAGTAATTTCCATAGTTAATACATCTCAGTTCTATGCAAACTAGCGTGTCAATAAAATTGTATTTTATTTGTTATCTATCTAGTTAACATGCTAGCTTAGCAAGAAACTTACTTCATGAGGGCCATACACAACTGCCAGCGCTTTGGTATTTCCCTGTTCTATGTATGCAGACCCGTCAGCTTGGGCAAATACACCCATACGAGCTTGTACTTTGCGCAGCTCAGTAGCTTTTCTTCCATCAAGACGATATCCTTGGTCGGACAATAATTCCAGGCCTGCCATCTTTGAACGTTTGAACTGGCATAAGAAAATTAGGCACGTGTGTTATAGACGACATTACCCACACGCCCACGAGTAGATACGGTGGCTTTAGGCATTCAAAACAAAACCAAAGACGATTTGGCGTCCTCGCCAAGAGATTTGGGGTATATTCATTGCGCCGATTCTGTTGCAAAACGTTTTCCAACGTTTAATCCAAACGGGAAACGTTTTGCAACGAAAACGAGAGTTTCTATTGGACAAATTCGGGTAGGTCGCTCCCCGTTTCGTTAATTTTGCTCTGTTTGCTTCAGTTTGACTCTTAAACAGTTTACCCTGGGTATAATTTGGTTTGGAACTAGTCACAGTGACTAGGGTTTGAGTCCCTGTCAGGGTACCCCCTAATTAACTACATTGGTGTCAGGAGTTGGATAGCACCACTGAAAGCATGTTTTAGGCATATTTCATTGTTGATAGAATGCGGTGTACTAAAGTTATCAGACCCACCATACATACAGTACTATCCTTACTACTTCAGCTTCTATTCAGCTTGAATTCTACATTTAACACATCTTCCATTACCATACAAATGCTTTTACAGGAAAGGTAAACATTTGTGAATTGTAAACAGTAAAACGAAGATTGACACAATTTCCTCTGAATTACTTTCTTCATTTATAGCCAAACTCTTTTTATTTAATTTTTTATATTTGGTTTAATTTTAATTTTATTTTTTGTCATTTAGCAGACGCTCTTATCCAGAGCGACCTACAGGAGCAATTAGGGTTAAGTGCCTTGCTCAAGGGCACACCGACAGATTTTTCACCTAGTTGGCTCAGGGATTAGAACCAGCGACCTTTCGGTTACTGGCACAACGCTCTTAACCACTAAACTACCTGCCGCCGCTCTTTGAAATGATTGCTATTGTTATGCGATTTAACTAAGTGGGCATATGCGCAAATGATCCAATACAGCTAGAATACTTCATATTTGGTAAATGTAGTAGTAATTAAAAAGTACATGAACATTTCAGTCATGATGTGTGATGTATCCAATGTAGCCTCTTGGATGTTGTCCTGATTTATAGTTTGACAAAAATAAAACCCACATATGAACACTCCTAGAGCAGTATGCTGTTATGGGCAAAAAAAACTTTCCAAACTTTGACACTTTTAAAAAATAAAATTTATTAGCATCTCTAATGTGTATAAATAAAAACATATGAAACAATGCATATACTGTACGTATAATGTAATGAGCTGAACAATGACTGGATTATGTGATACAAAGGAGCAGTCTTGTTTTTAGTAGTTTTTTTTGCCAGTGTACGTCTGTGAGAAAAAACATGTACCTTGAAATCAAGCATTTTAAACAATATGCATACCTATAAGTTGCAACTCTACATTCTGTCATAAGAATGAAACAAACAAGGAAAGGAGAGAGGTCAAGAACAGCAATAGGGGAAAAACATGGAAAACATTGTTTTGCGATCCCTTCTGAGAAGCTTGTAAAACGTCTTAGCATCAATATATTGTTATGAAGTGTGTACTGGGTCCACTAACAATGTTGAGGCAAAAGTCACAACACTATACACACTGAACTGATCAATTTAAAGAGTACACCATATTTCACTTACGCATTTGGAGCTCCACAGATTAATTTATAAAAGGGTCCATTTTTATTAGCGGATCTTACATTTTAGGGACCAAAAAGCCTTCAATTTTAATCCATGGATTAAAATATGGTAAATTAAAAGGAGAGATTATAAATTCAACAAATTCTAGAATTTCTCTGGCACAAACAGAAACAACAATCACAGTTTTGTTAATTTCTGTTTGTAATTGGGTTCGCCATTCTCTGCAATGACTTCCCTGTTACAGGGCCAGAATACCAATGACCCAGAGAATGGGCACTTTGTGGGGGTGTTGGAATTGGCTCTCTAAGGCAAAAGGCAAAGAAAGGAAGGGACCTCTCTTCCTCGGTCACCCAATGAGTTGTATTTTGGTCATGCTCTTAACACTCAAGGGTGTTTAAAATGTCTTAGAGTGACAAACATTATACACAAAGGACAAATAATATTTCTGAAAGATGGCCAAAACATTGTCCTATTTTTTTCTTGAAAACCATCTCAGACTTGTAACAGACTAAGAATATAAACGTTTGACAACTAGAGGCAATGCCCTACAAAACCACACAATCATGTGCGATACTGCCACAGGCAAATCGGTTTGAAGTTACACTGCGTGGACTTATAATATTCAATTGGCCTTTGTCTCATATAATAAATCTGGTTTCTGGTTTTCCTCCTAAATCAAAAACTATCACAGCTGTAAAGGGGAGCACAACATCCATGACAACAACAACTGCTACAAAGTTCAAAAACAGAGTGGGTAGAGGGGTTTAAAAAAGAAAGGTGACGTGTCTGCTTTAATATGCAAGTGTGTGTGACAGTGAAGGTGTTATCATCGGCACCCAAGGATCATGGCGACCTCATTCAGCCTTGTGGAATGAAGGAACTACGTAGTAATAGTTGAACAATGGTCTCTGCTCCAACCCAAAGTCTTTAGAAGAGTGCAAAGATCCCCTTATTTTTCATGTGTGTTTTAGCCCTGATATATCCACGTTCGCACAAGCTAAAACTCGGAAAACTCCTTTGCGCATTTTTCCGTTACGGAGACGCGGATCTCCTCCTCCTCGTAGTCGTCGAAGTTGCTCGTGTCTCCAGCGCCTCGACACTTTGGTATGAACGGGGCTTCCACCTGAAAACACAGAGAGCAGCACAACCAGGAGCAGAGTGAGGGAGTTTGCCTTAGAGGAAACAAAGCCAGTTCTTCTAGAGATGCCTAGGTAAGGCCTCCTTTCAGCAAACTACTTTATGAAGTTATTCTAGTGAGTCAAATAGAAAACATTATTATGACTCCATAAAGACTATTGTTGCAAGATCACAATGCTCTAGGGTTGGGCAATGTCTGTAATGACATCATCCCATCGTCCTGTCCAAACATCGTTGATATACGATAGTATCGTCAAATGTTTTTCTTCAGAGGGGTCAATTGGCGGAAAGAACGCAATATAAAGGACACATACCAGAACTGTGATTTGGTGCATAATGTCATTATTTTCATTTAAATTGTTACAAAAGCCACAAACAATCTAATTAAATCATTGTTCAAAACAAGTGTTAGGCCTAGTTATTTTTTTAATCTAGTCTAGGCTGCAGAATGAGTATCAAATCGGTAGGGCTTGTTTCTCTTGTCCATAAAAATACTCGGATATCAGTTATATTAGCCTACATTAAAAAAAATGAATATTAAAGCCACATCAAGTGTAGGCTATTGTTATTTCATCTTGATCATCTGAGTAAGTGCATTTGCGACATTCTTTCTCCATAAGGTATGTACTCACTAACTGTAAGTCGCGCTGGATAAGAGCATCTGCTAAATTACTAAAATTTAAAATGATAAGGCTACTTTCCGACAGTTTGACTGTGAAGGGATTTCCCTTAGTAACTATAGTATAGCCTGCCTTAAGCTAAATCAGAAAAAAACGATGGCTGACTTGGTGGGGGGGAAAAAAGCACATCTTCGCCTGTTTGGCAGTTGTTCGGTTTCAGGCCAAATAATAAAGGTGAGCCAGCAGACCGAAGCCACTTGCAGAATATGCAAAAAGTTTATCAGGCCAAAGGATGGACAGACTACAAACCTCTGTCAACATTTACAAGTCCATCATCCTGCTGAGTTCGCTACTCTGGGGCAGAAAAGGTGAACATGCAATCGTAAAAATGGCCCAATCCTACAATGCTCAAGAAAGTGCTACTGGATATCAATAAAATAGTGTGTTTCATAAAAGTTAGGTGTTATAAAGAGCAATTTAACTTTGCATTGATTGTCCTCATCTTCCAACATAGCCTTGACGTACCTTCCTCTCGTAGATGGCGATCCAGTCCGTTGTGGCGAACCACTTGTGTCCCTTGATGTCGTTGACGCCGTTCTTCAGGTTGCCGTAGCGTTTGGTCAGGTCCACTTGCAGCAGGTTCCTCAGCAGGTCCTTCAGGTCAGAGCTGAAGTGGGATGGGAAGCGGACCTACAGGGGGACACATGTTAAGGTTTGTCTAAATGGTGATGTATTGACAAATGTACATTTGCTCCTCGTTAGCCCTCTAAAGCAAGTGATTGATTTAAGACGGAAGAGGCTTTCACAACAAACATAAGCCAAAAGCCAGACAAGCCTTCATTGGACAGTTAACTCCCACTGAGTTCAGCTTACTTAATGAGAACAAGACAGGTGTTCAAAATGTGTTAAACTGCAGGTGAAATGGGTTGGCCAGGTTGTAAAATGGACTTGTCCTTACCTTTCCAGACACAATCTTCTCATAGATCTGAATGGGCTGGTCAGCAAAGAAGGGAGGGTATCCAGCAGCCATCTCATATATAAGGACCCCCAGGGCCCACCAGTCCACTGCTTTGTTGTAACCCTACACAAAGCACAATGACAATGTAGTTCATAGTCACATATCTAATCCAGGGCAACAAATTATGTTCCATGTCTTCAAATGGAGTAATTTCATGTACTGTGTGTGTGTTTTTGTGTGTGTGTGAGGACTCCCACCTTGCTGAGGATGATCTCGGGTGCCAGGTACTCTGGAGTTCCACACAACGTCCAGGTTCTGCCTTTTACCCTCTTTGCGAATCCAAAGTCGGTCACCTGACCATCAAGAACATGTACAGTCAGTAAAGCAACATAGCAGAGAAAATATAACCCAACACTACAGTACAGTCCACAGGGAGTGATGTGTCACGCACAGTGCTCGAGTTGGGTCTGTGCTCACCGGTATACAGTACTGGCACCTCAAATGTTCTACTGCTCGAATACCAGCATCTCTTATGAAATAGTGGCTCTAAAATTTGAACAGTGGTGCTGTAAAATAAAAATGATCCACTTCAAGCACCTGTCCCACATACCTGGATGTAGCCGTGGTGATCGATTAGAAGGTTCTCAGGCTTCAGATCTCTGTAGATAAGGTCAAGTGAATGGAGGTACTCAAACGTCAGTACTATCTGGGCTGCATAAAACCGTGCGTGTGGTTCACTGTGATGGAAGAAAAGACAGAAGAACCCATTTAACTGATGATATAATGGCAGAAAATGAAGAGTTTTAATTAACTACCAACTACATAAGCACTGAAATAAACAAAGTATAGGTTACAAAATTATCCAAAATATACATTTTCAATCAACAATCATCTATAAACAATCTGGAATCAACCTTGTTTTGTATTGAGGCACAGAAAGTTCAGCAGACAGACACTCACCTGAACCTTCCGATTCGTCTTAGATGTGAGAACATCTCTCCTCCTGGAACGTACTCCATCACCATGTACAAATTGGAGTTGTCCTGTGGAGGGACACAAACAGATGTAAACAAATCCATACAGATACTGAGATGATAATAACTGAATAGCCTAATAAAGAGGCCAGATCTCAATGGCCAGATTGAAAAACACTATAAGCCTTTTTTTGTGTGAACTGTACCTTGAAGGCATAGTCAAGTCTGACGAGGAAGGGAAAAGACACAGCCTGCAATATTCTCTTCTCGTTTAGCGTGTGTTCTATTTGCTTGAGTTTCACCACCTAATAGACAAAGAAGTGATCATCAGACAACTGTCTTGACCGACAAATTACATTTTTGTTTACTGTTAGTGATGGCATGACAAAACAGTACAGAGGTTGGGGGAGGGGGGCAGCTTTTAAAATGTCAGTAATTAAAAGAGAAATGATATAATAATAATCCAGACACTCACAGGTCAGATCATATGTGTGCTAGTGATGGGAGGAGCCAGGCAGACATTACACTACACAATGATACAGTACTTATGTTATGCTACCATATAACATCTACAGTGTTTTATATCATTGTTGCCCCCTTTTATTTTTATTTTAAAGGGAGTGGAATTGCACGCTATCTTTTAGTATATTTTGAATGCTTCATTTAGACAGGTGAAAACTGATGGGATGGGAGTATGGAGAGAGACCACAGGAGGTTGGTGGTACCTTAATTGGGGAGGACGGGCGTGTGATAATGGCTAGAGCGGAATAGTATCAGATACATCAAACACATGGTTTGATGCCATTCTATTCGCTCCGTTCCAGCCATTATTATGAGCTGTCCTCCCCTCTGCAGCCTCCACTGAGGGAGACATAGGTGGAAGGGGGGAGACAGAGATTGAACCCTGGTTTTCATTAGGGATGCATACATGTGCTTGCTGCCGGGAATGTTACCCACTCGACCACGGCTTTGCACTTGTTGCCCCCTTTTATCCCCTAAAATAGCATCTCTTCATCCTCTTCCCGTAGCAAGGTGATAAATTGCCAAGTCTGCGCAAATATACATGAGTTACCCATCCTGCAATATGTTACAAAAGGCCAGCTATTTTCCACTGGGCACCCACCTTTTGTTTGTCCAGTATTTTCATGGCGAAGAACTGCTCTGTTCCTTTATGTTTGACCAGCATGACTCTTCCGAATGAGCCTGTACCCAGGGTCTTTAGCCTGTCAAAGTCATCTAGGCCCGTCGTGCTCTGGAATGGGTAACACAAATCATAGGAAGTGGATTAGGCCTACCTAATGGATAGACCACAGCAGCAGTCCAAGGCTTTTACTCAGTTCAACTTAGATATTCTTCACATCCACTCTCAAAACACATTGGTGAAGGACCTTGGACCTTCTCCCCCAATACGGTTGAGAAGGCCAAGAGATAGAATGTGAGGAATAGCAGAAAAAGTAAATGAGAAAGAGTCCCCAAACCCTGGATTTGTAGCTCCAGGCAAGGCCTCTGAGCACTGAAAACATCTCACCTGTGGTGGACATTCCCATTTCCGTAAGAAGTCTTCTTTGGCTTTGGCTAGAAACTCTTTCACTGTATGGAAGAAAGGTAGAAACACAGGCACAATTAGCCCACCGGAAGGAATTGTCGGTCAATGCATAATGATTGATTCCTATTTAATGACTTTGGATTGCATGGAGCGGGCAACAAAGTACAAAGGAAATCTTAATGGAACCTTATGTGGGAATTCTAGAACAGTGCTGGGGATCAATAGTGACAAAATCAGTATGAAGTGGGACTTAATGGCGACAAAGACAGGTAAGGTCTAACTAACCAAATGCCCATCTGCATTGAACATCCACAAAATACATGTACGGAGTAAAGGGAAACGCAACAACAAAACAGTTCTGTTTCTAATGATACAAAAAACACACACACACCAACCAAGACAGGCAGTCTAAGTAAGAAGTGATGCCAAGAGCACTATGTCATGTTTCTCTTTTTTAAATGGAGAGGGGGATGTAAGAATTCACTAAGACAGGAGGAGAGACTGGTCTCTCATGAAGCATGAAGAGCTCTTGAGCATCACTTTCTTTCTGCACTGACTGTGCATTAGGGCCTAATACTGTTCAGGGAAAGGCTTTGACACTCGCAGCATTGTTTTTGACGAGCAAGGACAAACCAACATACATGGAAAAACATAGCAGATATCCAGAATGACAGAATGCAGATGACAAAAACATACAGGTTTAGGTAATGGTTTTGGCAGAACATAGATCGAAGCATATAGTGAACCTCTACTACAAGCCAAGATTGGGTTCATTTACAATAGAATCAATGCATGCAAGGTTCAGAACTTCGGACTTCTGTCATTTTGGGCATCTAGTGGAAGAATGGGCATACCAAAAGTCTCTATAGATCACCCAAGGATTTGCAGGAACAATCACCCACATGGATGGGATGATGTGGAAGAAAGACAGAGAGAGATAGATTTATGTACTAACAAGTATATCAGATCAACAAACATGGACCATATGCAGTGAAGAACAACAGAAGTTGACAGCGAAGGAAAGAGACAGTAAGAGAGAGAGTTGTCATTCTAATCCTGTGATTTAGTTTGACACAGAAAAACACAAGACTGTAATAAGAAAGGTTATTAAACGGACTCCTGTGGGTATGAAAAAGTCACAACATACATGACAAAATTACGTGACTAGGATCGTATGGAAAATTCTGTACAAATACAAAGATCTACTGTAGTACACAGAATGCTTCAATCAATGTGAAGTTATTTTTATATAGGCTACTCTGTGTGTTGAACCCCTAAATATCCCACATTACCCTGGCCTGACAAGTAGACTATACTGTATGGCCTGAACAATACCAGTATCACAATATTTGTTCCATGGCAAAAATGAAAACCCAAAGCAGACCAAACTCTTTGGTACTTAAAAAACCTGCTGTATGTAAAAGATTGTGTGCTACAGCTTGGAAAATAAACACAGTGGGGAGAACAAGTATTTGATAACCTGCAAAATCGGCAGTGTTTCCTACTTACAAAGCATGTAGAGGTCTGTAATTTTTATCATAGGTACACTTCAACTGTGAGAGACGGAATCTAAAACAAAAATTCAGAAAATCACATTGTATGATTTTTAAGTAATTAATTTGCATTTTATTGCAAGACATAAGTATTTGATCACCTACCAACCAGTAAGAATTTCGGTTCTCACAGACCTGTTAGTTTTTCTTTAAGAAGCCCTCCTGTTCTCCACTCATTACCTGTATTAACTGCACCTGTTTGAACTCGTTACCTGTATAAAAGACACCTGTCCACACACTCAAAACAGACTCCAACCTCTCCACAATGGCCAAGACCAGAGAGCTGTGTAAGGACAATAGGCATAAAATTGTAGACCTGCACAAGGCTGGGATGGGCTATAGGACAATAGGCAAGCAGCTTGGTGAGAAGACAACAACTTTTGGCGCAATTATTAGAAAATGGAAGAAGTTCAAGATGATGGTCAATCACCCTCGGTCTGGGGCTCCATGCAAGATCTCACCTCGTGGGGCATCAATGATCATGAGGAAGGTGAGGGATCAGCCCAGAACTACACGGCAGGACCTGGTCAATGACCTGAAGAGAGCTGGGACCACAGTCTCAAAGAAAACCATTAGTAACACACTACGCCGTCATGGATTAAAATCCTGCAGCGCACGCAAGGTCCACCTGCTCAAGCCAGCGCATGCCCAGGCCCGTCTGAAGTTTGCCAATGACCATCTGGATGATCCAGAGGAGGAATGGGAGAAGGTCATGTGGTCTGATGAGACAAAAATTGAGCTTTTTGGTCTAAACTCCACTCGCCGTGTTTGGAGGAAGAAGAAGGATGAGTACAACCCCAAGAACACCATCCCAACCGTGAAGCATGGAGGTGGAAACATCATTCTTTGGGGATGCTTTTCTGCAAAGGGGACAGGACGAGTGCACCGTATTGAGGGGAGGATGGATGGGGCCATGTATCGCGAGATCTTGGCCAACAACCTCCTTCCCTCAGTAAGAGCATTGAAGATGGGTCGAAGCTGGGTCTTCCAGCATGACAACGACCCAAAACACACAGCCAGGGCAACTAAGGAGTGGCTCTGTAAGAAGCATCTCAAGGTCCTGGAGTGGCCTAGCCAGTCTCCAGACCTGAACCCAATAGAAAATCTTTGGAGGGAGCTGTAAGTCTGTATTGCCCAGCGACAGCCCCGAAACCTGAAGGATCTGGAGAAGGTCTGTATGGAGGAGTGGGCCAAAATCCCTGCTGCAGTGTGTGCAAACCTGGTCAAGATCTACAGGAAACGTATGATCTCTGTAATTGCAAACAAAGGTTTCTGTACCAAATATTAAGTTCTGCTTTTCTGATGTATCAAATACTTATGTCATGCAATAAAATGCAAATTAATTACTTAAAAATCATACAATGTGATTTTCTAGATTTTTGTTTTAGATTCCATCTCTCACAGTTGAAGTGTACCTATGATAAAAATTACAGACCTCTACATGCTTTGTAAGTAGGAAAACCTGCAAAATCGGCAGTGTATCAAATACTTGTTCTCCCCACTGTCCATGTGATTCTGGATGACAACATAAGTATGTTAATTTTCAACATTAGGGCTGTTTCCCTAAAGAAGTACATCCACTTCATGTTTTGTTTCCTTGCCACGATGCTACGGAGTATCGCGATACTGGTATCATCCCTGCCCTACTGTATTGTATGACATTCAAGAAGACAATATACGACCACGTAGCTAATGTAAATGTTTACATTTTTGACAAGGCACCAGAGCTGGTTATGGTTTACTGTACAGAATGTGAATCCAACCTAGGCTAATGTAACGGTTATGTTTCCACTTACCACTGCAGAAATGTGTATTTAATGTTTATGTATTCTAACCGGTTGGTTCAAGTCAGATGTCAATAAGGTGTAATGTCATTGGCTAGGCTTGCAGATAGGGGGAGATCGCGAACGTAAATTCTTCCCAGTCTGATAATTCATGCAAGAGGTAGGTCACGTTGTGAAATAATGTATTCTATTTACGAATGTACAATTTGTACGGGTTCACTATGTACATTTCCTGATGTATATATACACACACACACACACACACACACACACACACACGTGTACAGTACCCGTTAGATATTGGGGGCTTCCAGTGATGTGCTTTTGTATGCATGTTATTGCTGTACAAGTGATTTAGCTAGCATGTTATAAAATGTAATGGTCGCATTAGCTCCCAGCTAATACACAGTTGTTTCCATGCTAAAATCTGCAGCCATCAACATCATCAAGCTATGCACATCTGATGTGCTGTCCTTTGTCTATTGTCACAGGAATAAACAACAATCAACTGGGATCGTTGTCTAGAAATTATTTATTTATTTATTACACAACACAAGAGTTAAGAAGTACGATAAAATCTGTATTTATTTATTTTTACCCCTTTTTCTCCCCAATTTCGTGATATCCAAATTGGTAGTTACAGTCTTGTCCCATCGCTTCAACTCCCGTACGGACTCAGGAGAGGCGAAGGTCGAGAGCCTCTTGACACACTGCTCGCTTAACCCGGAAACCAGCTGCACCAACGTGTCGGAGGAAACTGGCGACCGAAGTCAGCGTGCATGTGCCAGGCCCGCCACAAGGAGTCGCTAGAGCGTGAAGGGACAAAGATATCCCAGCCGGCCAAACCCTCCCCTAACCCGGACGGCGCTGGGCCAATTGTGCGCCGCCTCATGGGTCTCCCGGTCGCGGCGACACAGCCTGGGATCGAAACCGGGTCTGTAGTGACTCCTCAAGCACTGCGATGCAGTGCCTTAGACCGCTGCGCCACTCGGGAGGCCCGCGATCACATCTGTTACACCAAGTCCAGTATTGTATAGTAGAACGTACACCTGAGTACAGTAGTACAGAACAGTTTTTATAGATGAGCACCACTAAGCTAATATTTCAAGAACATGGTTGGCTAATGTAATGATTTTCCATTGAAAATGTGAGGCTAACATATTTAAAAATATGGAAGGCTGTGACATGGAACAGTGAAAACAAGCCTCAGAATTCAGTATCAGAATTAGCCTATTCAGCATGCACCTGCCAAACTGGGAGTGTTTTGACATCTCCCAAGAGCCAAGACAATGAGTCAAAGGTGCTGAGGTGGTTAGCAGGCTAGCGCAACACACACATTGGCTATTATCAGGAACCAGGTTGCTGGCTCTGTGAACAGCAACAGGCCAGACAAATCTGTAGCAGCAGCAGCAGCTCAGGGAACTGTATCAGCTTAGACAGGTTTAACACTAGAAGCTTGGGAGACTGGGGCTCATGTCATGTCAACACTAGCAGGAAAACAGACAGCACAGTGCAGGCTTTGGTTGCACTGATCAGATCAAAGAACATTGGTTGATTCCTGAAACTGGGAAGATACCAGAGGCTGGCCAGGTTCATGTGCCTCTGCCTGGTCTCTTCCAACAGTTCAATAAATCTCATATGAGCAGATTAACAGCATCATAAAGTGACAAAGCTTTTAAACAACCCAGATGCATTAAAGTGCTACCTATTATAAATATGTTTCATGTTAAAATATGACCATACATTTTAGTCTACAAAAAGTGAAGTGGATGGAAGTCAGTCACATTTCCTGGACTCACTTGCGTGAGATTACTTTGCTGCATGCAATCCACACAAATGTAGATCTGTACACAAACCAATGTCTCCATATTCCTGACTGTATAGGCCTTCATGGGGAAACATTTAAGTTTTATCACAGTATGCTGTGCATTGATTAACAGCATACGTACGTCATAAGCGTACCATTACCAATTAATACAACCCCAGGGCTAGTTGCGTCAAAGCTTGTAATACCCCTTATCCTCTGACGAAGGTCTGATGACAAGCCCTTCCAGTCAATGACAAACTGTGCTGTGTATGTGTGTATCTGTGTCTGTGTGGACCTTCACATCACTAAGATTAAACAAAGACAAAAAATACTTGTGAGATAAATCACTTGGGGAGGTTGTATTACGGGCCTGGTTTTATGAATGGGAAGAGGGCATTTGTCATTTCTTCACCATATTTGGTCACTGTTTAGCTGTGCGCAAGGGGGTAGAGGGAAAGCTGTATATATGTAGCACCTCAAGACTGAGATGTGGAGGTAGAGGCAGAGCCTGATCACTGAAAACAACTACTTATCCTCAAACTACTTATCCTTAGTGTGGTTAATCTAACATGTAATAAATAAATAAAAAGTATACCGTTTATATTTGCAGCATTGGAGTGCAGTGAACTTCTGGTTGCTAATAAATCATATCTTTACTTTAGCTAGTAAGATTACAAATTAGCTAAAACAGCTCTCTGGAACCTACAAATGCAATAGCAAAACAACAGGCCTTCATAACTACTCAATAAGAACGTGAGACCGCCATCCGTCAAATGGTCAAGACTTTAGCTGACTGGCTATAAAGCTAACGTTACTGCTACAGTAGCTGGCATTAAACATTACTCTGGCTTGGTGATGTCTCACGGGCCTGGTGGTGGCTAACGTTAGCTAACGCTGACATGAAACTAGCTCTCATTGACCTTACCTAGGTAGCTCCTGACAGCAGAATGGCATTCAATACAACTCGATAGCTAGCTATCTACCTAGCTAGCAACCTATTCTGTCTAGATACCAATATAGAGGCTATGGTTAGGCCTTTTCCCAGCTAATCCCCCGGTATCGTTAGGTAGCTACAATCTTATCTTGCATGATAATTGCGTTTTGGTTGCCCGGTAATAACTATATAGCTAGTTAGCAACATTGTTGTTACATAGTTCACATTACCCATGTCTAGATAACGTTAGCGAACTAGTTCGTTGGTTGCTAACTAACAGTAGCCATCCAAGTGAGTCCCTGCCCCGAAAAAGGTTGCCACTGACAACATAATAGAGAACGGGCTAAAAACGTCCCACACTAGCTAACTTACTAACTAGCTATAATGTTAGCAGCTAGATAGGCATCTGGATCAGGTTGTAACAATTTAGCCACATAGTTACTAAACCATCTTTGATTTAGCTACACATTCATTTGTCGCTAGCTAGCTACCTAGGATTAATTCACAAACTAATTACTATACCCTGCATCGCAAAATGTGTAGGGGAGGGTGTAATTAATGTAAATGTGCACAACATCAGGGATAAGTGAGCTTGTGCACACTCCCGATTGTCAAAAAACTGTTCTCCATAAAATATTGCAAATGTCAACATTACATTAGCAAATGTTAGCATGCTAACGTTAGCAGTATTGATAATGCTCAGCGACCATCCCAACTCACCGCTCTCAAGCTCGTTGCCTTTCTTGGCAGTAGCAGTGTTCCCCATCGTATTGGAAGACACGGTGATCGCTCAAAATGCGGGAGATCGTGGTAACGTTAGCTAGCTACACTGTTGAGTGGTGGTCCCCTCGTATTCGTCGTAGCTAGCTACAATCGTTATTTTGGATCTATATAGCTAGAGATAATGTTACAGCCCAAATCCCTGTACACAACCCCCCTTTAGATATTACCCTTCCTAGCTCTTCTCTATCTCGCTGACATGCAGCTAGCGGTCACTGCTCTCACTTCTCCCCCAAAGCATTCGTTGTTGATGGCTTGGTCAAAGACGTTCTGTGTGAAGAGATATCGCACTCAATCTTCTTCTTCTTCTTCTTCTTCTTCTTCTTCTTCTTTCTTCTTCTTCTTCTTCTTCGATGAGGTTTAACGGCGGTTGGCATCCAATTTGTTGCATTACCGCAACCTACCAGACTGGAATACAACTCCCTTATATTTTGCTTGAAAAATAAAAATAAAAAATACTCTACCATCTAACACTACACTCACAAATTCAAAAATATTATTAATAATTAACACCACCCTACTCCACTATTTAAATATATTCATTCCTACCTCTTGCCCTCAACCTGAAATGATGGGACATCACCACTTAACACTCTCTGCAACTCTTCCGATGTCAAGTCTCGCCCACCCAAATACCTCTCTGCAGCTGCCACCACAACCTCAATTTTTTTCGACTTACGCTGCATCCCTGCAGTACAAATAATAACCATTGCTATAAATGCTAAAAATCCAATTTTACTGAAACATACACTACCGTCAAAAGTTTGGGGTCACTTAGAAATGTCCTTGTTTTTGAAAGAAAAGCAATTTTTTTGTCCATTAAAATAACATCAAATTGATCAGAAATACAGTGTAGACATTGTTAATGTTGTAAATGGCTATTGTAGCTGGAAACTGCTGATTTTTTATGGAATATCTACATAGGCGTACAGAGGCCCATTATCAGCAACCATCAGTCCTGTGTTCCAATGGCACGTTATGTTTGCTAATCCAAGTTTATCATTTTAAAAGGCTAATTGATCATTAGAAAACCCTTCTGCAATTATGTTAGCACAGCTGAAAACTGTTGTGCTGATTAAAGAAGCAATAAAACGGGCCTTTTTTTATTACTTTTTTATTTTATTTTACCTTTATTTAACTAGGCAAGTCAGTTAAGAACAAATTCTTATTTACAATGACGGCCTACACCGGCCAAACCTGGACGACGCTGGGCCAATTGTGCGCCGCCCTATAGGACTCCCAATCACGGCCGGTTGTGATACAGCCTGGAATCGAACCAGGGGGTCTGCCTTCTTGAGACTAGTTGAGTATCTGGAGCATCAGCAATTGTGGGTTCGATTACAGGCTCAAAATGGGCAGAAACAAATAACTTTCTTCTGAAACCCGTCAGTCTATTCTTGTTCTGAGAAATTAAGGCTATTCCATGCGAGAAATTGCCAAGAAACTGAAGATCTCGTACAACGCTGTGTACTACTCCCTTCACAGAACAGCGCAAACTGGCTCTAACCAGAATAGAAAGAGGAGTGGGAGGCCCCGATGCACAACTGAGCAAGAGGACAAATACATTAGAGTGTCTAGTTTGAGAAACAGACTCCTCACAAGTCCTCAACTGGCAGCTTCATTAAATAGTACCCGCAAAACACCAGTCTCAACGTCAACAGTGAAGAGGCGACTCCGGGATGCTGACCTTCTAGGCAGAGTTGCAAAGAAAAAGCCATATCTCAGAAAAGTCTAAGATGGGCAGTCTGAGGTATGGCTTTTCCTTTGCAACTCTGCCTAGAAGGTCAGCATCCCGGAGTCGCCTCTTCACTGTTGACGTTGAGACTGGTGTTTTGCGGGTACTATTTAATGAAGCTGCCATATCACTTGTTGGCCTATCCCTCTGTATTGGTACATATCTACTACTCTCACCACTCCTCCCCCTTGACCCATCTTCCTCTACTTTCTTCACTGCCTCAGGATATGACAACTTCTTCACTACTCTTACCCTGGAAACCTCAACCTGCCTTACAATATTAATGGTGCATTACTGCCACCAACTGGACTGGAGTATAAATCCATTACACGTCATACAAAAAAGGGAAAATGAAAAAATAAATGACCCTGCCAACTTACCCTACACTCATTAAAAACCCACCACCCCATTCCACTATTTAGACCCTATCTGATCCTACACCAGGCCTACGGCCTGGGAGGACGGGACACTACCATTCAACACACCCTGTAACTCCTCTGCAGTAAAATCTCGTAAAACCAAGTACTTCTCTGCAGCTGCCACCACAACACCTATTTTCTGTTATTTACGTTTCATTCCTGCGATACAGTTGATAACCATGGAAATGAACGCTAAAAAGCCAACCTTACTGAAGCACATTTCATTCGTAAGCCTATCACTCTTTACTTGCAAGATTCTACTACTCATTGGTAGCCTCATAGGATCCCTCACCCTTGATCCATCTTCCTCTACTTTCTTCATTGTCTCAGCATACGATACCTTCTGTACAACTCTGACCCTGGCAACTTCAACCTGTCTCTCTCGCATCGGACACTTCTGATCCCCAGCACCATGGGCACCCCTACCCCCCAACACATACCGCTTCTTTCACCAATACTACATATTCCTTTCTCCCATGACCTCCTGTACACTTCTCACATCTCTCTCCTACACAGCATGGCCATCAGGCTCCCTCTTGAGTCATGTGTGTCTTAATTATTTTATCAAAGGTGCACTTAAAGCATCAGACAAGCTCAGTGCATATAGTTGATATTATTCAAACACATAGGTTGTGTCTATCTATGGAAAAATACACGTTTAAAAATGTAGACCAATTGATTGGTCGAAAGAACAGATGACTCTCGGTCGAACTGAATGCACCCCTGGGTGCCATCTCACTGCTGACACTAAGGTCACCAATTCAGGGTGTAGGCCTATCAAACCTCAAACCTGGTTCCCTGCCAACTGTCAGTCCAACATGTGATTACACCAAAAGTCTCAAACATTTTGACAATGTTGGTCGCTAGCTATGTGTCATACTAAAATTGTTACATCATGCTTAGCCTCAACTATAGTTTTGCTACTTAGAAAATACATTAGTGCAACACATTCGGCAGAAAATAGCTTCATTTTCATCAGATGACAACAGAAGTTCAATGCTATTTGGCTAGAAGCCACACAAACGATGCATGGCCATTATATTTCTAATGTTTATCATAGAAAGAATGTAGCCAGCCACATTTCCTAATGAGATAAGTAGCTACGCATCAGTCAGAGCACTGTCTGCTGATAGAATGTCCATTCGTGAATTCTCATCTGAGTGGAGAAGTGCAACTGAATTACAAAATGAGTGTGATGCCGAGCAGAAATTACAAAAAGAAGCATTTTAGATCTGCGTTTACCAAATGCAGCAAGATATTTCTTATGTGTTTAATATTTTTTTCTGCGCAGAATTCAAAACAGTACCAGCAAACGGTGTAGTCCCGTGTAGCTCAGTTGGTAGAGCATGGTGTTTGCAACGCCAGGGTTGTGGGTTCGTTTCCCACGGGGGACCAGTATGATTTTTTTTTTAAATATGTATGCACTCACTAACTGTAAGTCGCTCTGGATAAGAGCGTCTACTAAAATGTAAAATGTAAACATCTTCAAAGCAGTACCTATGTTAACATGACTGATATCTAGACATAGCTAACTAGCGTTAGGTATATATTCCCCCTCCAAACTGGAAGGTACGTCCCCGTGCTTCAACTACTCAGCCCCCTCACACATCTCGGCTGTGCATTCCAGTGGCTTCACGGTCGTCATCCCACTTCTGACACCAACAGTGGTGACCCGTCATTCAGAGCCCCACATTTTTTGCAAAAAAAAACACAACAAATATTTTTGGGGGGATTGCCTGTTTTGCATGTTATTTTGGCATGAATACGTGTCACATATCAGTTTGCAAACAATGTAATAAATAAATAAATATAATTTAGTTAATAAAGCCTCCATACAAACATGGTCTCTTTTTTGCTTTCTTCAGTAAGGCAGATCCAAAATGCAGGTGTTTAAGCCTAGCTCAGTGCTTTTTGTGGTGGTGGGGCAGCCAGCGGAAAAATATGGAGCGTAGGGGTTGGTAATGTTATCTAGTTGCGCCGTGATTGGCTCAGTGTTCTGTCACTCATGGGGACACTATGTCAGTGCCCAATCTAAGGGTTGAGCTAAAAAATGCAAGCCCCTTGGGTGCTGCCATAGAGTTACATTAGAAGTGCCCATCCAAGAAGGCTAAATGTCTTTGGCCACAGATAAAATGACGTCAAATCACGTTATATCTAGAGTAGCTTTGATTGGACTGATCATGTCAACATCATACTTTCAAAATCTTAGCTAGCAGTCATCATCATGAATCAAGTTGACAAGCTACTGGCAAATCCTTTTAAATCCTTGTCATATGAAGAGAAATTATAGATTTAACGTATCGGTGCTCATCAGCCATTGGACATATACATTACACAACAGGTTGGAAATCGCAAATTCAACAATGAGTGGTTTGGAAGAAATCAGTGGCTAACTGCAAGCATTGCAAAGCAATCACTAGCCTGCTAATCAGTGGAGTGGGTGTGTGGTCCCAATTCTCGGTTTAAGGTTCTCTTTTCCAAGTTTAAAATGATAAACATTCAACATTGGCCATGCTGTCAATCCAGCATGATTTCTGCCGCGCTCAAAACAACTGTTAACTCGGAACTGGGAAATCTGACTTCAGTGAGTTCAAGACAACTGGGAACTCGGGAAAAGACGAGCTCCGACTGGGAAAATAAATGTTGATCGGTCATCCAACTCGGAATTGTAAGTCGGGAACTCTGGCCTCTTTCTAGAGCTACGACCTGAAGATCACTGACGTCATCATGATTCAACCTTGTTTTTTTCAGTTCCCAGTTGTCTTGAAAGCACCATAAATCCAGAGAATGCCAGACTTTGATGACAAAGTTTGATGACAAAATTTGCCCACGATGGACCTCCACGCCACCTTCCTGTTCAAGTGAGCACAACACAACAAGGTGAGTCCAAAAATGTATTGTATGCTGCTGCATAAATGATGTAATACGCCAGGGAGATATGTATACTGTAGCTAAGAAAGTAATACTAAGTGTATGTTGTGATGTAAGCTGTTAGTAGCCCATGTGCCTCACCCTAATAATTTGGTCTATTTTCCCCTCTTAATTTCGCCTACTGTTCTGACTTGGTGGTGCACATGTAGCCTATAACCTGTTTTAGAGAAATTAATCATTGAATATTGGTAAGAGCTTTCATTGTCTGCTTATATGCCCCCTTTA